TATATATATATATATTATATTAGTTCTATAGTTAGGCAAAGTGTTATGAATGGTATAAAACATACATTGATTACACATCTCCCAGGGATTATAAGGTCATGCAGGCGCAGTCTTTTGGCACACTCTATGCCAGCTTTCCTCATGCCCATAGCCAGCAGACCCAGCAAAAGTTCCACATGACCCCATTCTCTTGAGCTCAGTCAGTCATGTGCAATGTGAGCAGAACAAAATAAAAAAATCCCCCAGCAATCAGTAGAGTCAGTACACAAAACCCCTTTTCAATGGCTTCTGACAATTATGACTTAAACGAGACCTAAAGCTTTTGGGTCAAAGGAGTACATTCTCCAATGTAATCCTCTGACCCAAAGACAGCATCTAGTGGGCTACTGCTTGCTATTAGCAGAAATCGCAGAGCCATGCTGCAGCTGAGAATGATTGACGATATTGTCAGGATCAACCCCACTGCCTGATTGACAGCTGGCTCTTCCTCTCTAGAGCCAGAGCCATCTGTACCCACCCCCTCCCTTGTCTGTCTCTTCAATAAGTGCTGGAGGAACACACTTCAGGGAGAAGACTGTAAACTGAGTGATCAGCAGTTCATGATGACTCAACTCTTGATCTATACAGCCAGCATGCGACACCTGCAGTGTCACACACCAACTCTAAGTAGTGGGAAGAGTACATTTTCCTCTCCCAATACTTCTCCTTTAAAGCAAACGTTTCGATTTCATAAATCTGCAGTCAAGGCACAAAGTGTGGTGTCTAATAGCTCCCAACTTAGCAATGAATGATGAGACAGCAGCCATACTCTGAAAGTAGCCTAATCCACCTTAGAAGCAGAGCAATACTTCAGAATACCAGACGCATTTGAAGCAACTGAAGACCCCCAGTGTGCCTGCACCATATACAACAAAGCAAAAAAAATTAAAAAAATGGCAGCTAATTGAAACAATGTATACCTAGCAAGGGAAAGCTGCCTGTTGGTGGGGCATTACACTGAAAAATAGAAAATATGCATATGCATGAGATCTAGAGAATGCAAATGTGACCACCCTCCATATGCTTAAGAGCAGCCTTCCTTATCCACTATAGAATGCAGTATGGCATTTGTCAGGCATGGAATGATACAAAAGAAATACAGTAGGGTGACTGAAACAACTGTCCTCTATAGTGACATTAACATACGTTCTACTAATACGTTTAAAGCTTTGAGGCAAACAGCTAAATACACATATAACATACATAAACGAGAGCCGTTTCTTCTGCCATCCATTCCTCCGTTTTACACACTTCTGTCAGAAGAAACAATGCTGTCTGGAAGGGGACTTAAAGGAGAACTATGAGATGAGTGATTTCCACTCACCTCATAGTTCTAGCCGACCTGTGACAATGAGACTGTCACAGGTCGGCTCAGTAGATCGGGAGGTGAGCGAACACATACCAGGTTCGCTCACCTCTCGATCCTGTCACGGCTCTCTGCCGTGACAGGGGGAGGGGCTGGATTCTCCTCTCCGATCTGCCAGTGCTGACTGGCGGAACGGACGGGTACAGCTGGCTCTGCCTCTAGTGGGCTGGGCGGATCCCGTCATCTACGTCGGGATCCGCTCCGGCGTCTCAGTATACCGCGAGCTGTAGCTCGCGGTATACTGAGCTTAGGGTAACGGGAGGACGCTGGTTTGTGTCCTCCCGTTACCCTAAGGAGAACTATGGGGAAAACCACTGACCCCATAGTTCTCCTTTCATTTTTCTCTGCGCCTTCCTAACCCAGCCTGTAACTGGACAGTGAATGGGGAAGCAGAACACAGATAAGCTCATATCTCTGTCAGTCTGCTTTCTCCTCCTATCAGCATGCTTTTTGCATTGCAGCACACCTGATTGGCTCCTTGTACTTGATCACCCTCCCCCTTTCTGAGCTTTGCTGCACAGTAGACTGTAAGAGAAAGATTCCGAGTCATATTCAGGTACTTACAAAGCTTGCATTTAGGAAACAAAGTTAATGGTGTCTTATTGATTACCTAGTGCTGCACTCACATTAACCCAGAACAGGAATGCAGATATGGACTTGTGACTTCTCATACTTCTGAGCTGCATACTTGTTTAAAGGTCAGTGACCCAATAAATATTAATGACTGAATAATTATGCCTCCCATTGGCATGCTGTGCATAATACCGTAGTGACACTTTGGGGGTAGTACTGGCTGGGGACTGTATAGTCTGGAAACTGTCATAGCAATGATTTACATGTATAAAGTCTTAAATAATTATCCAAAACGGATCATTTTAGTTTTTGTATGTACTGAAGAGTTAAAACCACATCCTTGCATAGTAGCAATAAGACAATATAACAATGAATGATCAAAAGACATCCTTTTCTCTTTAACCCAGAAATATGAAGATGATATGTCTTACTGGATGAATCAAGGCCGTGCTGGCAACGAATACTATGGAGGTTTTCACCAACACCATTATGATGAAGATGCAGCTTTAGGCCCTCGCAATCCATATACTTTCAGACATGGAGCTGGGGTGAACTATGATGATTATTAGAACTCAGTGTTGCACTAAAAATGTTGAAGGACAACTAGAAGAGTGCATTTTAGTAGGCTGGTAAAGTAAGAATAAAAAAAAAAATGTGACAAATCAGCCTTTTGAGTTCTCCTACTGTAAACTTGTTTGTTGATTTCCTTAAAGTGTAGGTGAACGTATGTTTTAGTATGTTTGGCAACATGCTAAACTGAACTCAGTGTTCTTAAGTGCACTGAATCTGTTGCAAAGTTGTTTTACCTGGAAATCCTGCTGGTCACCACATTAGGAATGTGCATACCAGACAAGCACCCTAAAGCTAACAAAGTGTATACACAGCAGGCTGACAACATTGCTAGTAATTGAAAGCCAGGAGCTTAGCATTGTCACCCTGACCAAGGAAGTGCTGTTACTGGCATGATCTCCACATATGAAAACAGATGACAAAAAATTATTTGCTTAAGAACACTGTATACAGTTAGGCATGCTGCCAAAGATACTGAAAAATAGATTTGGTGTTCCATACACAATAGTTATATTTAGCAATGCTAAATACGGTTTATATATGCAGTTTCATTATGGAAGAGGCATTGACTTATGATGCACAAAGACAAGCCGTGCTTATACCTTTCTTCTGTTACCATAATAAAGTTGTAATATTGAATTAGATGAAGCTATATGTTATGAAATATTGCGGTTATTGTTTTAGTTTCCCTCTATACAACTGATTCCTAGAGTATAATGAAACCTACATCTACTGATTAAATGCAAAATACACATTTAAAAGAGAACTATAGGGTAAGTGTTTTTCCCCAAAGTTCTCTTAAGGGTCACGGGAGGACATATACTAGCGTCCTTCCGTGACCCAAAGCTTAGTATATTGCAAGGTACAGCTTGCGTTATACTGAGACCACCGCAGCCGTGACGGATCCAGACATTACTGTCGAGATTGGTTGTATCCCAATGGAAACGCGCGACAAAAACGCCCCAAAGGAGCTCCTGCACTTCTTTGGGCGTAGGACGTTTTGTAGCGCGTTCATACGGCTCAACGTTAAAAAAAAAAAAAAAAGGAAGAGCTTTATCGTCTTATCTAAAAAGCCACAAAGCAAGTCCCGAAAAGCCATTTCCCCCCCTTATTTACCAAGACCCTCATTTTTTCATCCAGTTTGTGGACACTGGCTGTAAAAATGAAAGCGCCCATTTATAATAGGTACCTGGCTTAATAAGGTATGAATTAAGGTGAACCTGTGCACATTTGTATGTGAAATCCCAGCCCCTGGAATAAACAGTACCTCTGCATCTCCTCACATCCCATCTTGCCGTGCCTTGACTGGTACCATATGGTGGCCAAATCATGCCTGCATGTCTCACTGACTGCAAAGGGCCGCCAATAAATTGAGGAGCCACATTTTAAACAGATAGCATAAACAAGCCCCAAAACAGCAGATATTTTTATTAAAATAGCATATTCAACCACCATAAACTGATAATACTTTATTTTTTATCCAAGAGTACACTTGACAACACAATAGTGATTCAAAATATCCTTATAGCTGCTTTTAAATTCAAATTTACAGCTCAGTGAAACCTTGAGGAAATTAAAAATCATCTTTACAGTAAAAAAAACAAAAAAAAAAAAACAAATAAAGCTTTCGGACATAAATTTTCACTTTTCAACCCATTACTTTTCATGGGATTTACCTTATATCAACAATATTTCAGAGAGGCTCCATTGGCATCGATACCTCCAGTTTCTGCATAGAATACATCTAAAATGTAAAAGGTACCCATCATACTTTTATTACACATAAATAACGTTTTCATTTCTATTAACATTTTAGCTTCAAAAAGAAACTGATCATTTGAACCCGTTGTACTTGGCAGGGTCTAAAAGACTGAATGACGACGCTTAGCTGGCCCCACCACCGGCAACAGGGCTGATCTGTCCGGAGACAGTCAAAAACAGTCAAAGCAGGATATATAAAATGTGGAGATTTCCATGTGTCCTACACTACTGTACATAGACAAATTTTAAAAAGTGCAAGGCAATATTTGCAGTTCTCAATGTTATTAGGCACATCCATTCCTTTAAAGCAAGCTTTGTAGGGAAATTCCAGTTTTTGTTTTCTTCATGATGCCCTCTCAGAAGTCTTTTTTTTTCTCTTACAAAAAGGAACAAACGGGAGAGGCAGAACAAAAATTACATCTTGTAAACCATCAAGTGATCTTCTTTTGATTTTTTTATGGAGTGTTCAGCTGTGTCGCATTCTGCTTTTTTTTATCCTTGCTGGTTTAGGCTTTGGGATATATTGATTGTTTGCTTGGTGTTCAAGTTCCTTCCTAAAGTAGTGGATGGTTTTGTTCAAGCCTTCCTCTAGTGGAACCTGCAGACAGAAAACCAATACATCCTCATGAATTACAGCTAATGCTTTAAGGCCAATTTTATTAACAAATGTCTGCAGGAAAATGTCCCCCTACTGCGACAAAGCCTGCCATTGCTAACCTTGCTGTCTGGCCTCCATGCTTCTTTCATGTCAGTAGGAAAAAGTACTAAGTTCAGGAGTACTGACATCAGTGCCTGCATACTTGTTTCCGAGCATTAAAGCCAGGGATTACCATGCCAGCCAGAGGGCTAGCATTTCCAGAATCTGGTCAGTAATTGCAGCCGTCAAACTTTTCTTTTAGGTTTCCTTTAATGAAACACACTGCTTTGCCATAATCCAAACTTTTCTATTACATAAAATACAGTAATTGAAAGATTTACCTGGAAAATTTCAATAATATAGATTTTACTGTTCCACTGTGAAGATTTCCCTTTACTTCCTGTCCCAGAGAAACACAAAAGTAAAAGGAAACCTCTCAAGTCTCGAGAAATATTTCTGGAACAGGTGTTCCTATTTTTAGATTTCCTCTCTATTCCTATTTTGAAGACAGCTGTAACATTTTAGATTTCACATCAATTTTGTCTTGGTGAAAATGGTCACAAGGCCAAACAGCAAGAGCATATCTCCCCAGCAGGGACATGGACAGCATGTAGGTGATTCCCCGTCAGTAATTTCAATAAAGCATAAGGCAGTCAGCTTCTACTTAGCCTGCAATGGCTGATAAAAACAGATCAATATGTTGTGCTCAGCTGTAAACCCTGCCGCATGTAAATTCAACGTCAAATTTCTCAAGTTCACCACAGGTACGGGAACGTTTGCATACATATTTATGAATGTCAATGGCAGCATGTTTATATTAGGGTGACCTACATTTCACTTGCCATTTTCAGCAAAATAGGGAAGAGGTTCTCAAAGAAATATTGACAAAACTTAAATTTAAAACAAAAAGTCATACAAAAACACCTGTGGGAAATGCATTCACTCTGCCGGAAATACAACAGCATACTTCTCCTCTGCAGAGGAAACCTGGTGATGCAAATTTATGCTGAGGCACGCATCCACTCTGGGGTGGGGATACTGGCACCACACCCGCTCTGTGGTGGGGATACTGGCACCACACCCGCTCTGTGATGGGGATACTGGCACCACACACTCGCTCTGTGATGGGGATACTGGCACCACACACTCGCTCTGTGATGGGGATACTGGCACCACACACTCGCTCTGTGATGGGGATACTGGCACCACACACTCGCTCTGTGATGGGGATACTGGCACCACACACTCGCTCTGTGATGGGGATACTGGCACCACACACCCGCTTGGGGGGAGGGTTAATGGTGCCATACATCTGTTCTGCAGGGATTTTACAACCTGACTGCACCGCAACAGCTAAGACCTACAGTTACTCTGCCTGGGACATAAATACGACCTATAAAAACAGGCTCAATTGCTATAGCAGTCAGGGGTTTGCTTACACTCCCTTGACTGGCTGTCTCATGTAAATGATCTGCCCGATCATTTCCATGCGTGTGTGGTAATGCTACCTACCCCCCTCCACCCACTATCTATCTCAAGCTCACTCATGCCTCCTACGTGCCCTGGATGTCCATAGTGAGTGTCAGTGGGGAAAGGCGAGTACTTCAGCATAGGTATATTCACTGATCGTCTCTAGGTAGAATGAAACCAGAAGAGATGAGCTTTACATCACTTCCGGTTTCAGAGCTGTTATACCCCAGTCACCGAGGCCAAAATTAGACTAACTGAGCACGATCAAAAGAATGCAGAGGTAACGTTCGGGGACTACTAGACCTCTGATGTTTCCTTAAAAGAGGACTTGTTACTTGTCAACCCCCCTAGTCATAATCTCCAAAAACGTATACACACGTAGTGTGTGCATGTGTATGAAAACAACTATAGCACCATACGTTGTACCCTGCAACAATTTTAGAGTCATCTGCAGTTAACTCTAAATTAATTACCTTTAAAAGCTTTTAAATAATTTTCTATGGGCAATTTTGGTACCAACCTTTTTTTTGCTGCATCACAAGCATGTGCAATTTTAAGGCTTGAAAAATGTTGTATTTACTTAGCACAACCTCGTCTTTTGGCAAAAGTGTTAAGGCTGAAGTCAGACCAAAGAAACCACTGAATCAGAGAGACCAGGCAGGAGGAAAGCTGTAGAAGCAGGTGTTTTATATAGCCATCCTTTTGCCGGACTTGGCAAGTTGATGCCACGGACAGGATTGCCAGTCCTACATATGTCAAACAGCATTAAAGCTGAACTACTACTGTAAAGCACGCCATCACTGGACTCGAGAAATGGAGATGTTCTCTAGAGTGACGAATCACGCTTCTCTGGCAATCTGATGGATGTGTCTGGGTTTGGCGGTTGCCAGGAGAACGGTACTTGCCTGACTGCATTGTGCCAAGTGTAAAGTTTGGTGGAGGGGGGATTATGGTGTGGGGTAGTTTTTCAGGGGCTGGGCTTGGCCCCTTAGTTCCAGTGATGGGAACTCTTAAGGCATTAGTATACCAAGACATTTTGGACCATTTCATGCTCCCAACTTTGTGGTGAACAGTTTGGGGATGGCCCCTTTCTGTTCCAACATGACTGCGCACCAGTGCACAAAGCAAGGTCCATAAAGACATGGATGAGCGAGTTTAGGGTGGAGGAACTTGACTGGCCTGCACAGAGTCCTGACCTCAACCAGATAGAACACCTTTGGAATGAATTAGAGCGGAGACTGCGAGCCAGGCCTTCTCATCCAACATCAGTACCTGACCTCACAAATGCGCTTCTGGAAGAATGGTCAAACATTCCCATAGACACACTCCTAAACCTTGTGGACAGCCTTCCCAGAAGAGTTGAAGCAGTTATAGCTGCAAAGGGTGGGCCAACTCAATATTGAACCTTATGGACCAAGACTTGGATGCCATTAAAGTTCATGCGCGTGTAAAGGCAGGCAACCCAATACTTGTGGCAATATAGTGTACATCAGAAGCTGCTCTGTTCATTGGGCTATGTTTTAGGGTTAATACACTGAATAATACAATGTCAAAATGTAAAGCACAAAAGGTATATTCTAGTTATACATACCACAGGTTCCCAACCAAGCAGAAGTTTGGCTTTTCTAATGTCTGGCTTTCGCCTTTGAGGATCATCCTGAGCTTCAGAAAGAAAGTTGATTTCCCCTCCACTACCTACAAAAGGTTAAAAAAAAAAAAAAAAGCTCTCTATTACCACAAACATAGGTAATCATAATCACTACACACACTTCTAGCTTAGGCAATGTAATTTAGGTTTGGTTTCACTTTACCATAGCATGCACATTCTCTTTGCATGTTTTAAATGTACCAACATAATATTAACACACAGCAAAGCCTGTAATAGCTTACCAAGACGGTTAAGCTCACACAGATCCAACCTTTTGTTCCTTGCCACATGATTTTAATCCAGGACTGCTGAATAACAGCAGACATAAGAAGACCTCCCTGACATTTAATTATTTAGATTGTGGGTGTAAAAGGAGACAGCTTGTAACACTTGTAATGCATGTACTATAATTGTCTTACACTGTTGAATTCTTAATCACCCTATGTGACCGAGAAATCGCACTACTTTTAATTAATCAAAGCTTACAGGTAAACGTAAATTTGACTTGCTGGAGAGGTCACTATGTCTGCAGTAGCTGTGAGCAATTGCCACAATCTTGAAAAAGGATGATTTGACCTGTGAATCTCTATAAACTGAAAGTGGAAAGTATTCTGGCTGTGTGTGCTAATTCGCATGATCTGTAGAGACTTGCAAAATGAATTAATGCCAACAAATAGGATTAGTGAATTGCGAGATTCTTTATGGACAGGGCAATTGGAAACCCACATTCTGGAAAATCACAATACTTCGAAAGTAACTGCAGATTGACTTGTTTGTTATTACCAATTACCCAAGCAACAACTCACTGGTTATATAGCCTACAAAGGATTTCTGGTTAGGAGCAGCAATTCTTGTTTGTGCTTTAGCAGGGCAGAGGAAACTCAGAGAAGTAGAGCCTTTAAGCCCAATTGAACCCTTCGTTTTAAATCAGCGGAATACATTCAAGGTGCATCGAAGCAAAAGGTGTTCAATGTTTTACAGTTCATGTTCTTCTTTAAAGCAGCCAGAGTGGAAATTACTAATCACACTATGTGACCAAGAAATAACATTACGTTTAAGAAAGTCAAAGGCCTCTCCCCTGTCAGCAGTTGCAAGGGAAGGATCTTTGTTCTCCATGGGCCAGTAGTGGTCTCATTGCAGAGGTCCAATATGTCTCCTACAGAGTCAAACCTAAAGCCCTGTAAACAGCAAAGCTCATGCTCTGTGATGATTGAAAAGTTCTTGCTTTGACTCAACGGGGGCATATCAGACCTCTAGAAAGATTTTACTGCTTCCACACAGAAAGCAAAATGCTATCTGAAATGTATTTAGCCAATTTAAACTGACAGGTCAGTTGAGCATTAAAAGATATCTGCATAGATGGATTTCAGATTGCCCTAACTGTACTAATAATTATGGCATCTTGTGATGAATTTACAAACCTAACACAATGCAACAATCAAAATATCAATATTAATTACGATCAACAAATACAGACCATTTCCACATAGGACTGAAAAGCTATTTTTGCTTAGATGGTTTACTTCTCCTAACTCTTCACCCTTTAGTAAATAACCCTATTAGAGAGTCCATTGACATAAATATGACATGCTAGGAGTGGTCTTGCCCAGTGGAGCCATATTTCAGCATTTCTGGGCAAGTGGTTAATACCTGGCTGGATCTGAATGGTATGTACTGGCGCACAATTCAGCCTTGCTGTCTCAGTTCCCACACCTCAAAAGGCCAACAAGAATAGGCGGATGCTCTATGAAAAAAGTTGGCTTTGTCCATATTAATATGAGGCGCATACAATATTTTGTTTACCTAGAGAAATTCTAGAGCACTTCTTTAGTAAGGCAAAGTGTAAGATTTAGAATGCCATTTTCCCTTATCTGGACTGAAATCTGATTGGTTGCCAAGAGTTATTGTATTTTTCATTTTTGTCAGTTTCTTAAAGCTTTTGAAGATATTTGTAAACACCGCTTTCAGTAAATCTATGCATCCCTCTAACATGCAGTTTCAAGCACTGTCACCAGGCACTCAGCTCCGATTACAGTCCCTGAAGTCACTATGCAATTAACCACCTCATGATTACAAATCTAATCAACAAATGACAGGATATCTCAAGGGCAAAGAGAACTCACCAACAAGGTGTTTAATTAATCTGGCAAATTCCAGGATAGTGTGTTCTTCTGGGTTCCCCTGTGGAAGAGATGAAGGCAGATTACAGCTTTAATTGCAAATTGCAGTTGTTAACTTCTCCACTGCTCTATCGAATGCAAAATGAGGCACTTTGGTGTCAAACTTTTCTGGATCCACAAGCATGTATTTGTTTTAATTTGCAACATTTATATAGCACCAACAGTTTGTGCAGTATGTTACAAAATAAAAAGGAGACGGTAGAGTTACAATACTAATACAGGGCAGCTAGGGGGGACCTGCTCGTGAGAGCTTACAATCTAAAAAGGGAGGGGACAAGTGATACAAAAGGCGTTAAATGTGAGGGATGGGTTGATAAAGTAAAAGTTCTGTTTTTAGGTAGAGGCAGGAAACACGTCCCTGAAGCGATGAGATTAAGATCACCTAAAAGTGGGCAGAGTAGGGAATAGGGGGACATATAAAAAGGCTCTGGAGAAGTCGTGGGAGGAGGGCATGGGAAGAGGGGCCAAGTGGGCTAGAAAGTAAGAAGTCTTGGGAGGAACGGAAAAGTCGGTTTGGGTGATATAGCTGGCAACAGAGATATGGAAGCTCTGCATGTTATTTTAAAGTATTTAATTTTTTTTTGTTGGGCAAGTGGGAGCCAGTGAAATGAGGAACAGCAGCCACTGAACACTTGGTAAGGTAAAGTCTGATGGCAGCATTAATGATAGTCTGTGTTAAGGCAGGCCAACAAGGAGGGAGTTGCAATAGTCAAGGCAAGTGATAATAACAAGGGAGTGAATTAGAAGCCTTTTGGCATAATTTGTTTACATTTTGATAATTTATTTAGCAGGCCCAAGAAAAAAATAAAATAAATTTAGGTCAGTGCCAGGCAAGAAATTTAAAGAGCCAGTTACTAGTTTCTGACCAACCTCCACCGCTGCATGTCCAGATACGATAAGTTGTCATTATATTTAGGTGCACAAAATATTCCACATTGGGTGAACAAAAAAATAAAAATAAAAAAACTTTCCCCAAAACAGTCTCTGTGTATGGAACATTTAGTTAAGAATATCTGCACAACTCTGATCTGAACTGTAAAGTTTGAACTGCCAGTCATAGTAATTGACATAGAACAGATAAGAAAAAATGGCAGACAAAGTGGACTCACCAGATTAACAGGGCTGCTGACATTGCTGTTCATTAAACCTACAAGTCCATTAACCAAGTCACTGGAAGAGAAAAAGGTGGTGTTATTTATTTTGTACAAGATTATATAGTGTATGAAAGTGTAAACTTAGTATAAAATGTCAGAAATCCTAAAGAAAAAGACTGGGAAGAAAGAATTAGCACTGCTATTATTTCAGTTGGCTACTGAAGCTACTCTTCTTATGACTGTAGACTTTCACTGCACTGCTGTTGCAACAACACTATGCAACATATAGTAAAAAGACTGAGGGAAATTCCTTTTTTTGTTGTTTAGATACTTTGTGTGTGGCCATGATTTATAGGGGGGTTACATTCCCAAGTATTATAAAATAAACACACAAGACCAATAAAAAAGGTAACAGCTGATTAGGAGAATGTTCAGCAGCACTAGACTTTGAATGAGGGATGTTAAACGTGAAACTAAACTCAGGAGTTAAATCTTAAAAAATAATTCAAGTACCCTAACTATTAACAAAAATGTATCCTATTTGTGTATCACTCGGCTGTAGATCCTCAAATCATCTCTGAATTGGTGCTGACACTGTCCTTCCTTCTGGAGGGTGGCTACGTTTGTTCTCCATGGTCCCTGTGTGTGTTGTAAAGTAGTCACCGCCCCAAGCTCACCCTTGTGATGGACTACAATGTCACGTTTAGTTTACTAATGTGTATTGAGATTGTAGTCCATCATGGGAGCGAGCTTGGAGCGGTGGCTACTTTACAACACACACAGGGACCATGGGGCACAAAAGTAGCCACCCTCCAGAAGGAAGGACAGTGTCAGTACCAACTCAGAGATGATTTGGAGGATCTACAGCTTAGTGATACACAAATAAGCTACAGCGTTAATAGTTAAGGTACTCGACGGCATTTCTAAGATTTAACTCCTGAGTTGAGTATCACTTTAACACAAGTGTATGGTGTGAAAGATGTACGGATGTACATTTAGGCCTGGTTCACACCTGTACGTTTTGTAGCGCGTTCAACGCTCTACAAAACGCTCAAACATGAAAATCCCATTGTTTTCTATGGGTATGGTTCACACCTTGCCGTATTTCAGCCCGTCTGAACGCGCTACAAAATGGCCTACGCCTGAAAAGGTACATGAGCTTCTTTGCGGCGTTTTTGTAGCGCGTTTCCATTGGGATACAGCCAAGTAGACCTCGGAAACGCGCGTTTTTTTTACCTCGAATCGCTGTAAAAACGTGCATCACGAAATGCGCAACAAACGCGCATATTCGATACGCCTAGGTGTGAACAGAGCCTCAGTAGATTTTACACAAAAGCCATCACTCAAAACAAATCAAACCATACCCAGAGCAGTGGAAAGACAAATATCCAAGATTTACAGCCACACACTTCTTCAAAGTGGTTACTAAAAGGTCTTTCATGAACTACTATGCTTATACATAAACAAGTCTTACTGATGGCATGCCCATGCATCTGTATGCTACACTGTAGCATATAAAATATTAAACACAACTGACTTTATTTTTTTTTTATTAGATACTTTTGAATTAAATCATTTAAAAGATAAACATATAGGAACCCCCTCCTTCCAAAAACATTGTTTATTTTGCCAGATGCTTTCTTCTTTTGAAAAAGTTTCTCTTAGCAATTCAAATGAAAACACACTAGTACTGCTAAAGAAATAAGATAGCATACAGGGTGGATTAATTCCTGTACAGTTCAGCAGTCAGTCCATGCAACACAGGAACCACCAAGTCCTTTTTATTAGCTAGAGAACACAATTGCATCAATTACATAAAAATGGCTCAGAAAAGCTAGAAACCAGCTTTAAATGATTATGAACATGGGGATGTCAGGTCCTGGGTACATAACATTTATACTGTGGTCAGTATCTAAGTTATATTTCAGTGCAATCTATTCTGTTGAGTAATAGTTCACATGCTGCACAAAGTAAATGTTCCAACCACAGTACAGGAATAAAGGGTAATTGTTAAACCCAGCCTACCTGACATACTGAAATGCTCTAGTTTGAGATCCTGATCCGTACACCTATTGGAACAAAAACTATGATTATAAAAAGAACACCAGAGTCACATGTACAGTAAAATTCACATCTGATTAGTTTCACTTTAATTATTTTCAAAGCTATTATATAAAACAGTATAAAAAAAAAAAAAAAAAAAAAAAAAAAAAAAAAAAAAAAAAAGATAATTTTTTCCATAAACAGTACAAAAGATGTCCTACTAATGATCTCAAATAATATATGCAATATCTCCATCAATGACCACCAATATCTTTTACCATCTTTTTTATTCCCACTTTCCCCCAGCCCAAAAGAAAATTAAAATAAAAAAGCTAATTTCCCAAGTATCTCAATTAGATACCCGTGGTGTTTGATGAAAAATAAATAGTTCTATATTCCCGAGAAGAGGTAAATCGTGTCCAACTAGACAAGACATTTCTAAATTTCTCGTCTCTAGGATATAATGACGATGCAAGTTCCTCCATATCTCTAGTCTCAGTGATCTTAGAGAACAACAATTGGATTGATGGAGGAGTATCTTGCCTCCAGAGCAGTGGTATACAGATTCTCACTAGATTCACTAAATGTATTTTTCAGGACTAGAAAAAGGAGAAGAATGTAACAAGCCGCTGGGTCCTCCCTAAAGTCTACTGTGGTTATTTTAAAAATATGGCCCTTAATCCCAAAAGGGTCAGATTTTCAAAACACGACCAAAATATATAAAAAATAGATCCCTCTTCAACCCCCCATCTCCAGCATTCACATGACTCACTGGGCCTAATCTTACGTAGCAAAGTCGGAACCCTATACCAGCGTGTTAAAATTGCATATCTCGATTCCTGAAATCTACTAGAGATGGACAAGTATTGTGAGAAATATATTAATCTTTGTTTTTCAGTGAACTGTCTTTGTAAATCCCTTTCCCATTTACACAAGAATAAGGGACAAAATGAATCTAAGGGATTATTAAGCAAACAATAAATATTAGATAAAGCATGTCTAAATATACCCTTTTCACTACACGTTTTCCCAAAGGGAGTAAGCCTTGTTGTGCCATCATATCTTCTATTAAGGGTAGGGATGCACCGATATCAGTTTTTCGGCACTGAGTACCGATATTTTTTTTTTGGTACTCGCCGATACTGAATACCAATACCAGAAGTCCCATTAAGGATGCTGGTCGGCGTGTAATGACTCACCGCCCGGCTTCCTCATTAGCCAGGCAGTTGGTTTCATGCTCCCTTGTCAGGTGACGAAGCATGGAGCAGACTACTTGGCCAATCAGGAAGCCGGGGGTGGGTTATGACTTATTGCCTGGCCAGCATCCTAAACAATCAGGAAGCCGGGCGGCGAGTCATTGCCCGCCCCTTGGCTTCCCGATTGGCCAGGAAGCCAGCTTCATGCTCCCTGGTGATGAGGGAACATGGAGCCAGCTTCCCAGCCGATCAGGAAGCTGGGTGGCATGCAATGACTCGTCGCCCGGCTTCTTGACACCTGAAGTTCCGGTATCGGAATGCGCATCAGAAGCATTTGGGCGGGTAGGAGTACTCAACCAAACACTTGGTTTCGGCACCGATATCAGTATTGGTGCATCCCTAATTAAAGCATATGGAAAAAAAACTAGATAACTGGAGTGCCTGACATCCAAGTAAAGAGGGACAGGAAAGCACTGAAAGCTCTGCCAATGATTGTCCCCCATCTTGGGTCACCAGTCTCGCATCTTTAGGAATTGCCTATCCAATAAGCCTGGAGGGAAGGCAGGATTACCAAATACAGGAGTTATAAGACAAGTGTCCCTATCAAAAGTTGTTATAAGAGATTTGGATCACACTATTTTTAACGTAGGGCGTAATAATGGATGATTCCAATATGGTTTAGGATATACTGTAACTTTGGCAACCAGGGTAGCCCAGGCAGATATTTCTCTATTGCCTCTTGTTCTAGTAAGACCGAAAGCTTGAAAGAGAAGAGTGTCTACAAAAGTCTAGAAGCCTGGTAAAATGAACGGCTTTATAATAATTGAAAAGATCTGGAAATCCAATACCCCCGTGTAATTTTGAATATGCGAAAAGACTGTGCTTCAGCCTAGGCTTTTTATCTGCCCATACAAATCCAACAAAGGCCTTTCGAAGTCTTCGTAAGAATACAGGGGGTATTGCAACTGGCAATGTCTGTAGTAGGTATAAATACCCGAGGAATACTCATCTTAAGAACGGCATTCCTGCCAAATCATGTATACAAATCCTTAATCGCGTATAATAAAAAGGTGGAAAATTCATTTTAAAAATATATCCTCCAGCTTAGATGCAATTTTTGTTCCCATGTAATAGCCTCTGTGGCCCATTTAAACTTAAAAAATTGGAACATAGCGCTTCCTACCTGGTTGTTGAAAGGTGAACATTAAGTATTTCCGATTTTTTAAAGGTAACTTTAAAATTGGATAAATCTCCATAGCGATCCACCTCTCTTATAAGATCGTCTGCATAGGCCGCAACTTTATGTTGATGAGAGGATGTTACCAAACCTAATAGAGTAGGATTAAACCTCACTTGACGTATGAATGGTTCTAAAGCAAGTATAAATAATGGGGGCAGTGGACAACCCTGTCTTGTTCCATTACGAAGAAGAAAGTCGTCTGATATTGCATTGTTAACGCGGACCGCCGTCGATGGTTTAGAATAGAGGGCATTTATTCATTTTTGCATATAGTTTGACATTTTAAGGACACACATTATTTTGACCACAAGAGGGAGACATTACATAAACACAGCATTACCAGTTTACAACTTCGACAACAGGTTTCAAATTCATGCCTACTATGACCGACAACCCCTGAAAAATGTGATTTCCTGGCCATTACACTAACCCACTTTCTTAAATCACTGCTCAGAACAGGTATGGAGATGAGGACATTTAAAGTAGTCAAACAGTAGAATGAGTATGCCAGACAATTAGCATTTTCACAAGGAGATGGCAGCAGTAGCAGCCTCCCCGTTTCCCTCATGGCAAGTTTCCTTTAAATGAGCTAATGCAATATGACAGTGTGGGGAATGTACAAAGTGGAGGAACAGGACAACCAGTTATTTTGATCTCATTGGTTTGTATGGAGTAATGAATTAGGTTTAAATTCAGAGCAAGGCTAGTTGTCAAGGGAATGTATAGTCTTTTCAATGCACCTTTTTCAATATAAACTTGAGTTTACCTTCAGGTGACTAAATCACTTTTAATAAACCTTGTTTCTGTGTATAGTCTGAAATTACATATGCTCATGGGGAGTGCCATATTTACTCAATATTAAGTAGAATTGCCTAGTGCTTACTAGTACTAAATACTATTTTTTTATATTATAATTAACAATCTAACACTATACAATAAGCGGTCTCCTTATTTGTCTACATAAAGTACTGTGAAACATAATATTACCATCACAATATCTTGTTTTACAGTACCTTATATACACAAATAAGAATTGTATAGTGTTAGATTTCTATTTATAATAAGGATAATTGTTTTGCTTAATAGTGAGCACTAAGCAAATAAAGGCATTAAAGTAAATGACTATTATTTTAATAAGGTAATCAGAGCAGTGGCATTTTTTCAGGTTTAAAGATTAGGAGTAGGTAGAGCAGAGTAATATTTAATTATATTAACATATTTACAAACTGCAAACACAGGCTCTTCTAATGGTTGTACTTTAGTGCTAGTTCTCACAATAGAAGTCCATGAGGCAGCTTACTCAGGCAAACAAAGCACGCCCTGTATGGCCTATATCTTATCTTGACCGTTATTCAGCAGTTGAGCAGTCATTGGAATGGCAAATCTAAAACCTCTATAACAACGTTATGGACGAGCTAGGATGTAAAATGAGGAAGTCATAAATATCTCTATCCCTATATCTATCAAAAACATTATTGTAGTCATATATGCTATGCACAATTTACACTATATTTACCCATAGGGAAAAAAAAAGTTAAGCAAGCACGTCTGAAATACTGACTTTCACATTTCAGGAAGAAGTGACCAGTCGCTAGGTTAACATTATTTAGACAGCAGCACCCTGTAAATGAAAATGCTGAATACTTCTCTAGCAGACTTTGACCGAAATCTCTGCTCTCTTGCAGGGCTACAAGCACCACTACGAGAACTGCTGTTGTCTGGATGAGTCAGATAATTTGTAGTTTCAAGATTTTTCACATGGAGTTGAAAAGGGTGTCTGTGTCTGTATGCATGCTAGCCATCTATCATATTTCACACGGCTTGCTTTACTACACCTTTCACCAGTAAGTCTGTTATTTTTCAACTTCATTTAACAGACCAAGCTGTCCAACAACAGTGGCAGATAGAGGGTTGAGACAAACCCTTTAACACTGACAGAGGTGCTTTCAATGGTCAGCTTTTATTAATGTATGCATTCTCTTTTAACCGAAAAAATAAAATTGATGTAACTGATTAAAATGTGCTAGCTGGAGTTTGGCTTAAATTTGTTAGATGCACTAGCAGATTTAGATTGACTTGCTCTAAAAGGTGGTAATTTACCTATCTGCAGGTTTTCTATGGTCAGATGCAAAAAGTGCAACAAATTCCTCCATCTACGCTAAACTGCGTTCATGGAGAAGTCTCCCACTGGGCCAAGCTACAGTATCTTGCTAGTCTGCCCCGCTGGCTCTCAAAATACCTGAACAATGTCTGCATCCAATCAGATTGTTCGGGTATTTTGAGAGCCAGCAGGGGGCCAACTAGACCTTGTCCCAGTGGGAGATTCCTCCATCCACACAGTTTAGCATAGATGGAGGAATCTGTTGCACTTTTTCCATCAGACCATAGAAAATCTGCAGATAATTGTAATGTGTACGGCCAGCTTAACACTACCCTCTACACAGATTGACAATGCTGCTGTCCAAGGGTGGCCCTGCCGCTCCTCCAGATTGGAGTCACTCTTGGACAGAAAGTGTGTTACTGGCCGGACCAGGTGAAAATAAAGGAATAAAAGTCTAAACAAAAAGAAAATGAAGGCAGCTACCACATTTAGGGATTGGCAAGATGCAATATATACATCTATATAGATATATATACATACATTTTGTTTTTGGGTCTAGATACACTTGGAAATACCTGAGCACAAGCCTTAAAAGGAGAACTATGAGGTGAGTGCTTTTCACTCATCCTAATAGTTCTAGCCGACCTGTGACAATGAAACTGTCACAGGTCGGCTCAGTAGATCGGAAAGTGAGTGAACACATACCGGCGTTCGCTCACTTCTCGATCCTGTCACGGCAGAGAGCCGTGACAGGGGAGGGACTGGATTCCCCCCTCCCCCAGCGCTCACTGGCGGAACAGACGGGGGAGGGTACAGCTGGCTCTGCCTCTAGATAGGCAGAGCCAGCTGTCACTCACGCCCCTGGGCGGATCCAGACATAATTGTGACGGGAGGACGCTAGCTTGTGTCCTCCCGTTACCCTTAGAAGAACTATGGGGAAAAGCCCTAACCCCATAGTTCTCCTTTAAGTTACTGGTTTTCATACACAGCACCCCACAGTAACAAGATGAAGTCTCGTTGCTTGTGATGGGTCCTGCAATTTGAACATAGTGCTTTGCTCAATTCAAGTTTACAAACTAATAAAGGATTTACTCTTTCTACACATTTAAGGAGGAAGGCATTTAAAAAAAAAAAAAAGCAAGAACACATTTTCCCAGCCACTGTTTAAAAAAGAAAACAAGTATTAGAAGTAATGAAACTAGCATGTACATTTCCAAACTGTTATTCATTTAATACCGCCAATCTAAAAAAAAAATAAGCAGAATGCTTATAACGCCTGGATGGTCACCCTACAACAGATGCATAATACTCTACCTAGGGAAACCATATATTTGTCCACAGCAAGTAATAATTTGCTTTCACATTCAACAGCAAACAGCTGCAATAGTAGGAACCTTTTATACAATGCCATTCATTACCCAAAAACTGCAGCATGCAAGACTAAAGCAAATATAGGCCATGGAATGACCTGCATGTCAGATACACCTTCCAGTGTCTAGTTACAGTACTTTGTAGTGACAGCATAATGTACGTACAGTTAAAGGTTCTCCCTGAAGCGCCTGCAGAATAAAGTTACTGACGACTCTTCCATCATTCATATGCATGCGGGGGCCAAATGTATTAAATATCCGAGCCACTCTGACCTCCACACCTTCCTGTTAAGAAAGACAAAAGTTCAGAGTAAGAGTGGAATAATATAAGTAGCTGTATCCAATATATATAGAAATATATAAAACAACGGCACATATAAAGCTAGATTATTTCAGAATATGTCCACAAGGTAATAACCTCTCCTATGACAAGGCCAACAAGTGTTTTTGTTTTAAAATAGATTAGGGAATGGTGAATTTTTGTCAAGTGTCTATTGCGGGCTCTGATCCCACTAGGGAGATGTCCCCTCACATCCTGCTCCAGTGACAGCAGGATAAAAAATTAGGGGAATTTGGGTCTTCATGACAGGAACATCACAACAGCAAAATAAAAAATCCCTAAAAAAGTTTTAACCTTTCCGTACTCATATATATATATATATAAAAAAATACTTTTTCGGGTGAATTGCCACATCTCTGATAGTGGCGCTCAGCAAGGAATCCCCGGATAACTGAATATTGTAGTCTTGTTCCACAGGAACAAAAGACAGGATGACCCCGGCGACAACAGAACTGTTGCAGAGAACAGTAGTATATACACCTCATTCTCTAACTGCATTGTTGTAAGCTCTTCCATGTGCACCTTGCTACATAGACTAGTTATAAATTGTGCGGTTGCCATGTATCTTTAGCTTGGCTGTATAAAGGGGGCCCGAGCGTGCATTTCGGATTGCGGTAGGAAAGGGCTCCCTCCTGGCATACCTGCATTCAATGTATCAACTGCTTAAAGAACAATGAAACCCTCGTGGCTTTTTGCATATATGCAAAAACATTAAAAAAAAAAAAACTAGAAACTTACCCGTGCCTCTGCAGCGCGCTCTCGTCCGAAGATTCTCTGGCGGCTGCAAAAAGATCATGGGGGGGATGTGCAGTGGAGATCTTCAGCCGGGAGAAGAGGAGGAGAAGCACAGGGTAAGTCAATGCAGGAAGCACAGACTCTGTGGGACAGGAGTCAGCGCTGGATCAGAGACCTGCACCAGCGCTGGAGGGACTCCTGAAAACTACTGGAAAGATGATGATGATCGGATCAAGAGGCATCATTTAATTTGTTTGACTTTAATTTTTGTGAGTCTCCGTATTGGAGCATAGTAAAAGTGACATTAGAGTTGGGACCACACTACACAGAGGAGCCTTGATGAGGCAGTGTGGCTTCCACATATTTTTTGCAAAAAGTTGTGCAGTTGGGTCATTTGTTTTGTTGCAGACTAGCTAGTAGTTGGGCTGGGAAATTTTTGTGTTTTGAGTTGCTAACTGGAAAGTCTTCCAGGAATTTCAATATCCAGCATGAATCTACCAGTAGCTGTTGACAGCAGAAATCTTCCAGTTGAAGTGAAAAATACATGAGGTAGAAGACATTCACTCCCCTGAGGTAATTCACATGAAAAAAAATTAAGTATATAGCTGATTAATAATGGCTTGGAAAAAAAAAAAAAATGTTTTAGCAATTTATCAATAGTGTACATATTTAGGAACACAGTGGCACTGTGAGGAGTCATTTAGCCTATAGTGGCTAAGGCTGGCACATTCACAAGAATTGGCCAAAATTGTAATAGTGCATGGCCCTGACAGCTCAACAAACTTGAATGAGTAATTGACTTTTATTGAAGGAGCCACGGCGAAAAAATTTGGCCTAAAAGTTACTGCAGCCAATCAGCTACAGTCCCTGTTCATATATTCTAACAGCGGGGGGTGCTGGTTATCACAATACAATAGCTGCAGCAGGAGATTCATCCATCAGGCCATTTAGGGCTCACGCACGTACGTAAAAAGGCCCGATCCCAGAAGGGACAGGTGCTGTGCATAACTGCTTGCAGCAGTCTATCCTTCCTATGGTGAGGTCACGGCTGCACGTTATTACATGCACACCTGTGCGGGTCCGGGTGCCTGCACTTGGACGCAGACAGTGTGCATCCAAGTGTGGGCACCTGGACTTGCACGGATGTGCAGTTTCAGATGTGCGTGTGACCGTGTGCAATTGCATCCTCCCTCCTGTCCCGTCAGGGATTGGGTAATTTTACAGGCATGCATGCCGTATGGACGTGCACACACTTCTGAATGAGCGCTTAGCATGAATGGAACAATCTGCTAGATTTTTCTTTGTTCAGCCTACAGGGTTAAGGGAAAAAAAAATAGTCTGCCAGCGTATTACCAGCTTTAGAAACAGAACAGCAAGCAGAGTAAATCCCATTTACATTTTTTCTACAGGTAAAAGAACTATCATATACTGTACATATCAGTTAATGTTAAAATACCTTTATACATCAAGTAACTTTCATGTTAAATACACTGGCCCTTTATTTGGATTCACATTTCTAATGATTCCGTTTCAGGATGAGGACACTTTAAAGTCAAGTCCTAGAGCCACAAATTGAGCTCCCTTTCTGTTCACATACCTGGTGCACTTACATAAATAAAACATTAACAAAATGAAGAGTGTAATTAAATACTTGAAGCATATCTTTGTGCCACACACCACCTGTTCCCTACTACTTGCCAAGAGAGAAAGTGTCAAAATCACTAGAATGTAGCAGGGTCAGGCATACTATGTGATGTATGATTGAAATTATGAAAATATGGTTACCAGATATGTTTGAAAGGGGATCTCAAAATATGAGAGGACACCCAATATATAACAATTGTCAGGGTATTTATATATAAAATTACAAAAACTGATGAACTATGACTTGTACAGAAACTAAAAATCAAACTTTTGTGCTGGACAGATAAATTAATCAACCAAAATAGCCTATTGTGTACAAATTAAGCAATACACAAACAATACCAGAGAAACCCTTCAGGAACCAGCCTTTGTACAACTAAACTGATTCAAAGAGGTAAAACATTGCAAATGAAATCTAAGGATTAGATAATCATAAAACCACAATTGACAATACTGAGAGAAACTTAACGTCAAGGTCAATAATTACAAGTGTTTAATCAAGAAATACAAAGGCTAGGGATATCACAACTACAAATGAAAAATTAACAAAAAAACCCTTACAAACTCCAAGACAGTTAATCCACCCGATTGTTCCAAGAATGAGATTACCTATGATCATTGTCTGAGGTTGAGTAAGTTATCATACACATCCAAGGCTTACTCAACTGAATGCAAACGATACGAGTGAAATAACCAATCAACTACCATTTCTGAACTGATCAATTGGAAGAAAGTAAATAGTGGTTGGGGAGTCGCCAATACGAACAATGCTTTCAAACCATATAAAATACCAAAAGGAGGAAGAAAGAGGAGGAAAAAAAGGGGGAGAAGGAAGAGTCTGAAGAAAACTTCCTGGATATAACAAAAGGACTGTCACTCATTGACCATCCCTAAAGACTTAACCCTTGCTGCCTAAAACGAGCCATCATCTCATCCAATAAGACTCTGAACATTTTCTTTTGAAGGATTGGTGAGATATTGATTATATATGAAGAATTAACTTTCTTTACCGTGAAATCATAGCGATTACATTTTATGTTTTGTTTTTTTTACAATTCTAAGTGTGCAGGGTGAATTCTTGTGATAATTTTTCATATATTTCTCTATTTTATTCCTGAGATTGTATTGTGTATGGTTAAATTGGGCACAGATTTGTATGTAACTCGTTGCCATTGTAAGTATACTAGCCTGTTTTGCTTGTTGTCCCTATTATACTAGTAAACCTATCATCTTCAGAAATCGTTAGGATCACAAGGGAATATTTACTTTTGAGATAGGTCTCTTTCTTTCCTATGGCCACGGAGAGTAAGAAACAATCTTAAAAAGGTGTCCAGGTATTTTTATTTTTCTGATAATTTATTTCCATTTATTTCTTTGATTGGGTATTTGAATTGTAATCACCAGTAATTTGTTTTGTACAGAAATATATGATTATACTCGTATAATAATAAATTATTTTGATTAGTGTAATTGGGAGATATTTATATATTGTGGTAAGAAATCACCATAAGCTCAAAGAACTCAGGGAAATGGTTTGGGGTGTATTATCAAGTGTCTGAACTGAATTCATACTGTTTATTAAGTTATTTATTATTTGCCGTAATCGGCTGGAGGCACTGTCTATTAAATCTAAATATAATTCAGACACCAACCTATTATTAATATTTCACCAAGATTTTATACCACGCAATCACAACACAATGTATGCATTGCATAACTATTACCAGTGGACAAAGGTTAAGCAATGGTCTGACTGCCTAACATATGTTTTACCATGTGACACACACACACACAAATATAAAAAGGATTACCCAATTAAGTGGCATGTAAAAATACTACACACCTATGAAAACCATGAACTCTAAAATGTTTTTATGCAGCTTATTCATATTGACTCCACTAGTTAATCAGCTAAATATTCCACAATAATAAAAACCAAAACAATGTAAGCAATGAGAAGGAAACTGATTACTGTTTCTCTCCAAGAGCTAAATACATGAGGGTTGAAATGTCAATCTACATCCCAGAATTCAGACAGCTTGAATTACTTATTTGCTAAAATGGTCAGGACACCTGTTACAAACAGTCAACTGATTTATTAAATGCCGATGTCATTTTGCTTATCCCACAGACAGCATCAAATTCTGATCACTTGTCACCTCTTATTGCTCGGCATTCACTCAGCACTTTGCAGCAAATGCTCAGAATGAATGGAAAATAAGAATAAAAAAAAAAAAAGGAGCAACAAATGGGATTCCAGAAGGGACAAGTCTAGCAAAGAAAGAATACAACGGATAGCCCTTACTACCTAAAACAGTCATCAATAGATGCCAGTCATTGGGGACCTGGAGGATCCATGAATGGACATATTTGGATGGCACTTTTAACATGATCCTACAGTTATACTGTATACAGATACTCCTCGCTTAACGACTTACCTGTTTTGCGACCACTCGCACTTACGACCGTCCTCCGAGCGACCTCCGACCTCGCGCGTCAGCGCCAGTGCGACGTGTCGCCGGGGGAAGTGACGTCCTCCGTTCTTCACAGCGCGTCCCCGTGAGTATTTTCATTGCCCGATGTACAGTACACTGTTCAGTACTGTACATCGGCAACGCTATACAGTACTGTACTAATGCAGTACAGTACTGTATAGAGTTCCTCACTTAACGACCAATTCGTTTAACGACCTGGTCGTAGGAACGGAACTCGGTCGTTAAGTGAGGAATACCTGTATTAACCTAAACCAATGCTGACTGTTTAGCTGGAATGGATGAGGTGTAAAAGAAAGGGCTGAAATACTTACTTTACTTGAGAAAACAATGCTTCAAAGAGAACTAAAGCAAATCTTTTTATTTGGTTTTAGCCTTGTTTTGGGTCAAATGAGTACATTTACTAATGAATTCCTGTGACCCAAAGTCAGCATCTAGTGGACTACTGGCCTTTATTTGCTAAAAGTGCAGAGCCGCACTGCAGCCGGGAAGGATCCCGATCAACATTGTGAGGATTCAACCCGCTTCCTGATTGACAAATAGCTCTTCCCCTTTCCTGTCTGTCCCTCTAATGAGTGCTGCAGGAAAAGGGAGTGGGGAATCCCTGCAGGGAATGGTGACTGGCGGTCACCGCTCACTGCATGGAGAAGACCGTGAGATGAGTGATCAGCTCTTTATCTATAGAGCCAGAACGTAACACCTTCAGAGTCACACGTCAGCTCTCAGTATGCTTCTCCTTTAAGGCTTCCTCTAGTGCTGGTCACAAACAAAAGCCGAAGCATGTGGCCACTTGATTTTTGTTAAAGGGGACAATCAGAATTCAGAGTGAATTATTTTCTTCAACTGAGATCAGTATGACAAAACAGAAAAGGTAATCAAAACATAAAAGAAAAGCAATGACAGCAAAAACTTCCCTACATTCATACAAAAAAAACAAAAAAAAACACAAAGTGAGTCAGAGGACAAGCTGAAAAGCAGAGACTGGCAGTTGTGGAATATGTAGGGTCCTTCTAGGCACAATAACCTATCATTCAGATTTCCCTCCATTGTCCCCAAGCAAAGTAGCTTCTTTCCCGTTTAACTTTTTGTCACACTTGTTTCTATTTCCTTTTTCTCCATAGAAGCTTTTGGCTATATTTTTCTAAAATGCCCACGCAATGAAAAAAAAAATAAAGTAAATTTTTTGTACTTCAGCCTGCAAAGGATTGCAACCACCATAAGGGATCCCAGCTGCAATACACAAGTCCCTGCAGAAGGAATAAATGGACTAGCGCAGGGGTGCCCACAATTTTTGTGTTAAGATCTACTTTTCAAATGACGAGCTACATGAGATCTACCAACGGGAAAAAACCTCCTTCGCTCTCTCTCTCCTTGTTCATTCTCCTGGCTGTCTCTCCTCTCTCTCCTGGCCGTCTCTCCTCGCTCTCTCTCTCCTGGCTGTCATTCGTCGTTTTCTCTCCTGGCCGTCTCTTCTCGCTCTCTTGGCTGTCTCTCCTTGCTCTCTCCCCTGGCTGTCTCTCTTCACCCTCTCTCCTGGCTCACCTTGCTGTATTTTGCAAACAGTGCAACAGGCTGTGTAAACGAATATTCTTTGATGTAATACATAGCACTTCATCCACCAGAAAGGTGTCAGGGAGCTTGGCTCAGCAGACTCAGGCTAATGGGTAATCATGTGTGCACAGCTAAATAAATATACCAAAATAGAATATAGGGGCCACCATTCACACCCTTCGTGATCTACCAGCATCAGCTGTGAGAGCTACTGGTAGATCACGATCTACCTAATGGGCACCCCTGGACTAGCGGATAGGACTTTTGACCTTCTCATTCACAGAGCCTGTGAATGAATTAAATTATAAACAGAATACTGTGGGAAGAACATGGTAACATAGTAGGTAAGGTTGACGACAAGGGTCCTTCCAGTTCAACCTATGAGTGTACCTGATTGTGTCTGTATTTATTTGGCTCTAACACTTCCCATATTTTGTATATAAAAAGTGAAATAAGAAACTCATCCAGAAGTATCTTGAATTTATCAACGTTATCAGCGGAGACCACCACCTGTGGAAGGGAATTCCACAATTTCACAACTCTCACAGTAGAAAAAAAACCCCTACGAATTCTAAGATGAACCCCCTTTCCTCCAACCTCCTGTTGTGTCCCCGTGTTCTCAAATCAGTTTTCGGATTAAACATTCCCCCAACCCTCCCCCCCCGACTATTGTGGTCCTCATTGATTATTTGAAGACTGCAATAAGGTCCCTTCTTAAGCGCCTCTTTTCTATGGTGAATAAGTTTCAATTTTGAAGGCGATCTTCAAAACTCAGGCCTTCCATCCCTTTAATACATTTTGCAGCCCTTTGCTGAACTCTCTCCAACTCAAGGACATCTTTCCTGAGTTGGCGACCAAAACGGCACCGCATACTCCAGTTGAGGCCGAACCAATGATTTATAAAGTGGAAGTATTACTCTTTTATACCTTGCTACAATCCCTCTTTTAATGCACACCAGTATTTTGCTTTACTGGCTGCTGCTTGGCATTGCTAACCATTGCCAAATCTGTGATCTATAGCACCCCCACGTCTTGGTCTTTTTCCAGGTCATACTTCCCTAATTTAGCCCGCCCGCCCCCCAGCCCAAGTAGTAGTTTGCGCACATGTTATTCGCTCCCATGTCCATATATATATTTTTCAACATTAAATCGCAGTTGCCATCTTGTAGCCCATACCTCAATTTTATTTAGATCCTGTTGAAGTGCAAATATCTCCTGTTCGGGATTTACTGCCCTACACAGTTTCGTATCGTCCGCAAAAAACAGAACCATTTATACCAATCTCTATATCGTGGATGAATAAGATGAACAGGTTCGGTCCCAGGACTGAACCCTGGGGCAGGCCACTCACAACCTTTGCCCACTTAGAAAATGACCCATTTTATACTACCCTCTGGATCCTTTCTTGCAGCCAATTATCCACCCATGTACATACAATTTCATCCAAACTGATAATAGATTAGTTTATGAAGTAAACGTTTGTGGGGTACTGTGTCGAATGCTTTTGCAAAGTCCAGATACACCACGTCTACTGGCATTCCTCGGTCTAGATTAATGCTGACTTCCTCATACAATGATAATATATTGGTCTGGTAAGAACGGTCCTGAAGACAGGTTTGTTACTACTTATGATACCAGTTTTATTTCCAAAATACTTCATGTAGTCCATAATCATGCCTTTGAATATTGTGTACACTATTGACGTTAAGCTGACAGGCCTGTAGTTACCCAGTGTACTTCTTTTCATATATTGGTACCACATTCGCTTTCTGACAATCAGCTGGTACCATACCTGTCATTATAGTGTCCATTAAAATGATGTACAAGGGTCTGGCCTTGACCTGGCTAAGTTCCTTTAGTACCCTCGGATGTAACCAGTCAGGTCCTGGGGATTGGTTTACATTTAATCTTTCTAGCCTCTGTATTACTCTACTCTCCAACATCTGAAGATCAAATAAAGTGGGGCACCGGAGAATGTGACCATGCTTCATGTTACACCTAAAATGTAATTAACATAAATCATGGTCCAAAGGGAATTGCCCCCAAAGTCTTAAATCAAAGAATGTATATCTTTTTTCAGGTGAGCGGAGCAGGGAAGCTGGATTTCTCCAGCAACCTGATAGACCATGCTGAACGGGAGGATCATTTAGAAAAACAGAGCGCCAAGTCAGCTGGTATAGTTAGTCTACCACACATATGCGAATTTTAAGTTTGAACATAGTTCTACTTTAACAGAGAAGCCAATTTATACTACGATGTCCTTATAAGATAATTTTATGAAGCAGACAATACATACATTCTTTCTGCAGAACAAACAAAAGTGTAAAAAGCAGGGAAGACTGAGAGGTGCTCTTTTTGGGCTGCACAATAGTGCAAATTCTGCTAGGAAGGTAAATTTAATTACCATGTAAAATATTATGCTACACCTTTAATTATACTTGTGCCTTAACTACGTCCCACCCACAATCTGTAGATCAACAATCCTCTTTTCAATGAACCATGCTGAGGTAACATTAATCTATGCTCACGCTTGACATCTCTGGTGCAACGAGCAGATATAAAGCAACGATGCTGTAGGGACAAGAACCAGGAACATAACATGCATACCAAGTCATTGCCATTTTCCAAGAGGAATTCCAGAAGAGAGTAATTTTTTCAGGAGAACTATTCAGGCACAATTAACATTTCCTAAATTTTCCCTATAACATAGTAAACCTTCCCTTTTTGAGTTAAGTTCCACTTGAAGGTTTTATACAGAACCAACAAACATCTAACCTGTTTCATGTAAGCATAGCACATTGTTTCTGCTACTCTCTTCCCTTCATCATAACAGGCACGGGGACCAATGGGGTTCACATGTCCCCAGTAGTCTTCATTTTGAGGATGTACTTCAGGATCTGTAAAGACAAAAACAAAAAAGTCAGTATGCAGATATGCTTTCAAAATATTTATGCCATCATAAGCTTGTATTACAGTATACCATGAAACATGGTAAAGACCAGAATGACTGCTTTCTACATAAGCAGAAGTATATATATTTTACTGTAGCATTATATTGAATATAAGGAACCCACAAATGACCATTAGGAAACATTTCTATTTAGCAATCATTCAGCAGACAGCACAAGTCAGAACTTGTACAATTACTCTAGTAATTGTTTTGCAAATGCCCAATCAGCAGTGCTATGTAAAATATGCCTAACGAGAGATTCATACAAAGCAGTAGGTATCATAATGCTGCAGCAAACACAACTGACATGTTCTGCTGTTCACTATGCTTTCTGGCCTCCGACATATTAAAAGTATGACAGCAATCTGATAGACAGCGTCAAGGATTTTGCCAGAGTAGATCTGGAAATTTAAAGTTGACCTTTTCAAAATGCCATGTTATGAAGCTAGACTAGCTCTTTTTTTTCTGAAAATGTCATCCCTGTGTTAATTATGTACCTTGTTTTGTCACAGTTTCTATTCAAGCATTGGCTACAAAGTGATAAAACAGGCACTATTTCAGGTGGCAGGTTCAGGAAAACAAGTCCTGACCTCTCGGTAGCACTCATCACACGGTCTGTAAATATTGACGCAGATGAGAGAATGGGGACAGATTTAAAAAACATTGCAGTGGCTACAGTTCTAAAAAGGTAATATTTAATAACATTAAATTACAAAATACCTTGTGCAACAATTATACGAGTGTATATGCTATATTCATTTTTTAAAGATTTGTATTTTTATTATTTTATTTTTTTTAAGTGGGCCCTTTAAAGTTTAGACCAGGAACAAATCCTGCCCATCTTTGACCTCAAGTTCTAGGTCTAGAAAGACTCATGATGTCCCAGATCTAGTAAAGCATCAGCATCCATGAAAAAGAACAGGAATCTTAGCAATATGGCAAAAACAGTTGTCTGATTGCAGGCAAAACAATGGAAAGGTCCCCATAAGTCTTATAGATCTTTCTGGATCTAGTTGGAGGATAGCAGTGGCAGGGGGACAGTGTTCTGCCCACCAATAGCCTAGTAATACACCGGGCACTTCTCAAATGACCCTCACCTGCAGCGCAGGGCAAGACTGCCAGTGAGACCGAGATTAATGGTATCATCCAGCGCAGAGGCCTAGTATCACAGAATCCAGGATGTACCAACGGAGAGGCAGTTATCCGAGGGAAAACTGTGGTGGCCTGGATGGGGCCCAATTTCAGAGGCTGAGCTGACAAAGGGACTGGACTGGAGCAAGGAGTCTAGGGGTGAGAGGAACCTGCATTAAGCTGTGCACTGCGAGTCTCTGACTACAAGCCTTATGGACTGTTTGGGAGTCAGGCTCTGAGGGCACTTATTGCAAAAGCAGATGAAGGCGGATAGGGCTTAGCCAACCTTTTCCTAGACCGCCTTTGTTGAGACAGCTCTAGCCTCCCATAGAATTCTTGATGATGAAAGTTTAAGGCCAAAAGATACTATGTTCCTTAAGGGCTTGAATGGTCAGTAGACACATCCGGGACACAAGATTTGTAATATATAATATAATAAGCCATCACTGCTGAAAATTATAAGAAAAAAAAGGCTATCAAAATTCAGGTAGACTTTTTTCAGCAGAACTGAAGAAACAGAAGTTCATTATCCTAGGACACTAGCAAACAAACTGGGGCATGCTGGGCAGAGGAGGGGGTTATCTTTCCACAATTTGTTTTTGCCAGTTAATGATCCTCCTGTAGGCAACAGTATATGTGTGTATCTAAATTCCTGTAATACTTAAAAGGATAAGAAAGAAAATATTTTTTTTGCAGTCACATTAAAATATTTTAAAAAGTAATCACTAAAAATACCAAAACATTTGGTGTGTACCTCCGTAGACCTCTGACGTGGAAGCCAGTAGAAGGCGAGCTCCAACGCGTTTTGCTAATCCTAGAAAACAAGAAAGAGTTCTCTTTAAATTCTTCAAAACCTTCCAATGTGTACTTCATGCAAGAAACGAAGAATACAAAGCTCAAATGACATTTCCAACCAAAACCTGCTTTTATTGCCGTCTGTACTCCGCTGTCCTGATTACTCATCCTGGTGTCACAAGGAAAAGTGATACAGAAACCTCCTCCGCCATTCTGTTACCCAGAAGAACAAAGAATCATTCCTGGTTAAGCTCTATGCTGGCTGCTCTTGTTGGAGCTTACACAGGGCTAAGGGCTCTTTGTCTGTAGGTGGCAGCATTGGGTGCATGATTGCCCACTGCCAAGCACCAGCCCTGTCAGGTGACGGAGTATTGTGAGTCGCATGCTTTCCATACAGCAGCAATAAAGCAATGTGAAGGAAAGTATACAAAGCTGTGTGTGTGTCAAAATAAAATAAAAAACTTTCCTGTGGTTTTCCTGCAAGTACTTAATGTAACAGAGGGTTTTTAACCATGTGACCTGTTAAAAGTGATGGAAAATATTTAACACAATAGCAAGTAAGAAAACCACCATAACGGTGACGCTTGTTCCAATGACAAATGGTCAAATGTGGAATTTTTCTGTCTAATTGACACAACAGAAAGTTAGGAAATCTCACAGGAATAAATACTAGACAGAGATTCCAAACTTTCACAACTCTGAAACAAAAAATCATAATTTTTGTGGTTGGAGTTAGCTTGAAGTTCTAAATAATAGCGCTGCAACCAATGAAAATCTATAATAAGAATTGTCGTCAACTATTCTCATTATAGATTAGTTGGTTGGATCCCCTAGTTCTCTCCTCCACACTGGGAGGGCACAGCAAGCAGTGGGCAGGTGCAATAGCCAGCCTACTTTTGGCTATTGGAATTTGAAATGGACAATAGCAGGCTGGTTATTGCACCCATCCAGAACCTGCTGTATTTACATTCAGCTGCCGTCTGCGGAATCTTGTCACTAGCAGCTGTCATTAGCTGCCTTAAGCTATTCAAGCGCCATTTGCTTACAATACAATAAAAAGGTGGGAAAAAAGTCATTTTGGTTTTGGCCTGATAAATTCTGCTGCAGAAGGTGCGTTGTAGTACCATTTATTTCATTGGCACCCCAAAACGCGTCCCCCCCCCCAGTGTGATCGCCTGCACTGGAACGCACAGCACCGCAATGCGTTTCAGTGCAGTGAGATTGCAAAAAATTGTGCATGCCGTTTGGAAGTGAAGTAGGCTATAACACTGCATTTGTGTATTTTATTTAAAATTAAGGATGGTATTTTTTTTTCCAATTAAATCGAAAAAAATATGTTTTTTCGGCCAACTAATCAATGAATGAAAATAATAATTAGTTGCAGCCCTACTAAATAAGCAGGTTAGGCAATGTACAGAAAAACAGGTGCATGTTTCAACACACTCACCCAACATGTTTAGTGTTCCAATAGTGTTGGTTTTTAGTGTCTTGATGGGGTTATACATATAGTTTGGAGGAGAAGCCGGAGAAGCCAAGTGGTAAATCTGGTCCACTGTAGGAGAAAGAACAAAGGATGATTAAGGATATAGTCCAGGGAAAGCACATAAAGACACATCATACCTGCTCAAGAATTTCTCTTTATAACTTCGTATTACCAGAGTACACTATAGCTATAATGCTGTATAAAACTCCCTGTTTCCCAGAAACCAGGTACTCTAGTAGGTGAAGTTGAAAATTCTTGTCTTGCGCCAGAACCTGTTTTCCCAGAGTGGCTCTGTACTCTCATTATAAACATACAGATGATGTCTAATAATGCAAATATCTGTGCATGCAGAAAAGTATTCATGCTCTACCTCACTGTAGTAAATAAGAAGCACCAAATGCAGAAAAGAGGTTCTCTTAAAGTGACATTAAACCCTCAGATTTTTTTAACATAAACCAATACTGTAATGTGCGCCTTAATGTAATCCATGGTTGTTTCCCTTCTCTTTGCTGCTCTTCCTTTTAAATCCTCATGTCTTCTCATGCTAGGGGAGAACTTCCCTTTGCAGCTGAGTGCCTCTTCCGGTAGTGCTGGCTCAGGTTGCAAACCTACACACAGACACCATGCATCCATTTCAGAGACAAGGCAGTCTGCTGCAAAACAGAAGTTCTGCCCAGCATGAGAACAGATACAGATTTAAAAGGAAGAGCAGCAAAGAGAAGGGAAACAACCATGGATTACAGTAAGGCACACATTACAGTATTGGTTTGTTACTTTAAGGCTGGACGGCATACAAAAATGATGCCAAAGGGTGTACTTGGTGGTGTAAATGAGACTGTGGAAAATTTGTATAAACCTTTTAGCTTTATATAAACCAATTGGGTTTCTAACCTCAGCACACAGTTAAGTGAAACTTGGCATTAGAGAAATGTGTGCTATATCTTAAAAAAATTCTGCTTCCCCACCTATCATGCTGATCCTCTATTTTCACTACTGAGCATCTCTGACCACATACAAGTGTACAGGCCAGACAATTAAAATTCACAGCTTATTCTGGGTTGGTGTTTTGCTAGGTAGTAAAGATAGAATATTAGCATGAAATCTGGTTACCAAATGGTTTTTTTGGAAGGTTTGCAGCTGTAGCAAAACATTTGAAGCACAGCAGGCTCTCTCTACAACCTAAGAGCACTTACAGTTCAGTTGCTGATTTTACATTTAGCCTGGGCTTATATATTTACTTTATCTGAAAGGAGAAAAAAAACACGAGGAAAGGTTTCCTATTATAACACAGCACTGAATAAGACAATTCATTTCTAAACAAAGACTAAACCTGTATGTCCATGAATGGGCATTCTCACAGACCAATACAGAGGTGAAGAGGTTTACCCTCAACTTTCTCAGCTCAAGTCAGAATTTGTGCAAGTGTTCCCAGGTTTGTGGGGTCTAGAGAAGGTATCTGAAGATATTATCCCATAAATGCACATAACAGGTGTACATTGATGTCAAGACATTCTCACATTAGTTACCATTTACATTTTTTTTTCCACATTAATCAAAAAGTTGATTTTTTTTTCTTGAGGAAACTCAGTACAGGAACACACACACACACACACACACACACACACACCTTCCCCGTAAAAACTGACTAGGACAATACTGCCAGATTCCTTCTACATCTGGTGTAAATATGGTATGCAGACTTGTCCATCAATATAACACCTTGATACATAATGTGCAGTAAAGTAAGCCAAAGCATTAGATTTTAGCTATCAGTTTAGGGCCCGTTCACATGTAGCGAATTATCGCGCGATTTCCGCCGCGATATCGCGCATTTTTCCAGCGTGATATCGCGAGAAGTCGCCGGCCAATGCTATTCAATGGAGCTGCCTTAACTCCATGTCGCAAGTCGCTTCTACCGGACCCTTTTTTCGGCTGATTTTGCGCGATTTTGCCTTTTTTCTATGGAGCCCAACGGAGAAGGTCGCGCTACCGTCGCTGGATCGTCGCCCCGAAAGTCGCGCTATCCCGGCCGTGCGGATCCGCTGCAAAAGGTATGTCGCTACGTGTGAATGGGGTCTAAGAGCTATCTGGACAATAACAGATAGCCTGTTGCGGTTTTTCTTTTTTCTTGGTTACTGCAATGTTTGTCTTACTATGCGCTTTTACAACATCACACTGTACGAATCAATATACTGTTGAGAAAAACAGTAATACAGCAATAAAGAAGATGATGTTATCCCAAGAAAACATATATTAAATTTACAGAAAAAAAAAAAAAGCATTAGTAGGCAACACAAACTATAAAATCAATTTTTTCCAAGATGACTACACCACCGATTCGGGTCACTGTTGCAGGACTACATGAAAGACAATAAAAGTAAAATTTAAAGATGGGCTTGCTGGTGTCGGGAAGATTGCACTAAATATTATTTGACCATTTAAAGAACTGATCTTTTTAAGATTAGCATATTGAACAAACAGAAGGATGTTTCAACAGACATTTAACATGACATACAATTTTAGGGTCCTCGGATGTTCTTTCCAATCATGAACAGTAGCAGATATTGGTTTAAAAGAGTGCTTATAAGAGTGCACGCAGCGTCCAAAACAGCCAAGCAGAGGGCAAAGGACTAGTCACTAGTATTGCCAGTAGGCTGCCTGCGGCTGATCTCATCTCCACAACTGATTTACCATGTCTTGCTCCACAATGTGTCTGTGTGGAAGGTGTCATCTTAGCAGAGGAACAGTTCTTTGTTCTCTCATGTCAGAGCTGTCCCCATGGTGACTGTTAATTCGATGACTTATAAAATCATTGTGACCATCTTTTTAAAAATGCTATGGTTTTATACATAGCATGCTGTAATGTTATTTATGTTCAATCAGTATTTGTTAAATGTTCAAAAAATATTACTTAATCTTCCCAAAATCAGGCAGTCAAACTATGACCAACCACCAAGGCCTCCAAGTGCCTGCATGCTAGCAAAGAAAGGAGTTACATGTTACCTTCAATGTAAAGTGGTTCAACCACATCATGATTAATAAGTTCAAAATTCTCGTGACCGATCCAGTGCTCCACATTTCTTTTACGGCCGGTGAAAAAGTTGTCGACGACAGTGACTTCATGGCCATCCATCATTAACTTGTCTGTAAGATGTGACCCTACAAATCCTGCACCTCCTGTTATCTGCAAAGATAATACTGGATTAAAAAAAATCACACAACCTACCCAGACATCAGTTCCTGCATAGAGAATCTGAGGATTATAGAATATGTACATTTTTTTAAAACACACTCTCCTGCTGGTGTTGCAAGAAACAAATGTGTGACAATGCAACACGCTGTACTGTACACAGACATTTCTATCTAGTCGCACTTACCAGAATTCTCTTTCTATCCTTTTCTGACAAGAATTTCACAGGAGGGTATTTTTGTGTGAAGCTGTAATAAAAAAAAAGAAAAAAATGCTTTGTGTTCTGTAAAGACAACAAAGTGGTAAAAGGAGTTTTCCACATTCATGAATTCAGAGAAAAAGAAAAGGCAGCTGCAGTTCGACAGTTAAAAACACAAACCTTATAATTCATTAATTGTATCACAGTTTTTAAAAGCAAAACTTGTGGGAACAAACAGACAGCAAACAGCTAATTGTTCCAGTGGGGGCAATCAAGAACCGAAGGAGGATCAGAATCGCCATCAGGTTTTCAATTCTGTCTGTGACTCCACCTGGCCAATTTCCCCTCACCTTATATCATTGTGATACCAGCACAAGAAATTAGGGGAATACTGGTCAGCCAACATATATATAGTAATAAAACATTACACAGGTCCAAACCTTTACCCCAGCCTAGAACAAAAGTGCATCTGCTGCTCTCTCTAACCCTAATTGAGACAAATGGAACTCTGGGGGCAGGAGGGGAATTTATAAAAACGGGAGCAGTCAGAATATGGAGCAGTTTCCCAAAGTAACCGATAAGCTTCAATGTTCAGCTTGTTCAGTTAAGCTGAAGATAGAAGCTGATTGGTTGCCATGCAAAGCTGCTTCAAATTTTGCCTGCTTCAGTCTTAGTAAATTCCCTCTCCGTGTATTTTGTCAGCACTGGATGGACATTGGGCCACAATTTTCTACATAAACTTAAAGGACCTTCTATTGCTCTATATTCATGCCAGCAAAATAGTTCAAACTAAAACTCCAGACAAATTTGTTTGGCATATACGTACACTTTTGTTCTATTGGGGATATCCTAAAGAATGGAGACATCCTAAAGAAGGGAGACATTCCAACGAACAAGGTCTGCAGTGTGGAATAACCACCATGAAAACTGGAGGCAAGATTGCTCCATGTTCCCATTCACATAGCATAGCATAGCGTAAAAATTGTGGCTTACATTTATAAATCACTCTTTGCGGAAAACTCCAGAACTGAAAAATCCTACTATAGCTGGTTATACAATTTTCTCAGCTTTTGGGCTGAACAAAAATAGAAAATGTAACAGATTTCTCCATCCACAACAAACATCTTGAATGGAGGAATCTACTACTGTGGCTATTATATTTTGACAGTTGGCCCTGCTGGCTGTCAAAATACCTGAACAGTGATTGCAGCCGATTGGATGCAGGCTCAGTTCAGCTGACTATTTTCCACCTGGCTCTTTCGACTTCTCAATGGAAGGATATCAGCTGGGTGTCAGCAGACAGGGCCATCCACTGGGTAAATTTCAGCTGGATCAGCCAAAATGAGCTCAGTGTAAATCCAGCAACTGTATTTGCCTTAATTAACCCTGTCTGTACTGTGCCAACATATAACGTATTATGGGGAGTTTCTGAAATTTGTTCTTAAAAGCAGACTGATCTTCCCATTTTGACAGCCACGTATAGAAAAATACAGGTATTATATCTTAAAGTGTTTGAAGAAACGGATCAGGATAAACATAAAACATTGGCTCCTACTGTTAGAAGAATAATCAAAATGAATTGTTGTTGTAGTCATGACAATAGGATTCTTCAGAACATTCTCTCCATATAGTTATTTCTTCAGTCACTTTGAAAAATTAGGCACCCTTTGTTCCAAAGAACACTAAGTCCATGGAGTAAACAACGATAAAACCATACAATAGACTGTATACATACATGTGACACAACAGAGGCAAGTGAGACATATGCAGCTCAAAGCTTGCCAAATGCTTTATTACAATTGCAGGCAGACTGCCAAATGGCAGAAATATGCAACAATCAAGACGGCACACACAATGCTGCTGAGAAAAACAAAACTTACCAGAAAAGACTTTCTTAGTGGTAGAACACAGCTTACTGGTGTCCCAACAGTACAGTCTGCGGTCTCACTGCTAGGACAGCAGATGAAGCAGACCACCGAAAGAGTCCAACATTGTGCTAAGCCAGGAAAATATAACTTATATCCTTATTACTTCAGTATCTGAAATATTGTTTTTCTTTGTGGATAAACTATCTTAGGACGTGATGTTGGATGGAGGTGAAGTGGGAGAAGCCACTAACCACACCATACACCAGAAAGTATTCTCTGTTACAGAAGAGTAGTCACATCCTTTTCCCCACTCATAGAGAACAACATCTAGGAACAAGTGTGGAGTTGTTAAAAAGGAGAACTTCCACCGACGTGTGACAATGAAACTGTCACACGTCGGCTCAATAGATCGGGAAGTGAGCAAACACATACCGTTGCTCGCTCACTTCTCGATCCTGTCCCTGCAGAGAGCCGTGACTGTCACTCACCGCTCCCTGCAGGGATTTCCCCTCTCCCCTGTCCGATCCTCCGGCGCTGACTGGCGGAACGGATGGGGGAGGGAGCGGGTACAGCTGGCTCTGCCTCTAGATAGGCAGATCCAGCTGTCACTCACGTAGCTGGGTGGATCCAGACAGTATTGTCGGGATCCGTCCCGGTGTCTCAGTATACCGCGAGATGTAGCTTGCGGAATACTGAGCTTTGGGTGACGGGAGGATGCTAGTTTGTGTCCTCCTGTTACCCGGAGAACTATGGGGAAACTCATGGACACCGTAGTTCTCCTTTAAGCAATTATCCACAGGAGGGTCACCAATCCAACCGCTATCTACACCAGCCCTTCTCAATCAGGGTGCTGTGGCACACTGTGGTGCCTTCTGGCTACCTCAGGGGTGCCTGGAAGTAATCACATCGTCATGTCTCCAATAAGAAGAGTGCTTCTGATGTGAAGGGAGGAGGGCTCATGATGTGAAAACTCTAATGTGAAGAGGGGCTCCTAGTGTGAGAAGGGTTCCTAATAAGGAGGGCTTTTGATGTAAAGAGGAACTCTGATGTGAAGCAGAATGTGAACCCCACATTTTTCCCCCCAGCATTTGTGCTTTGAGTTCCCCCTTAAAAACCATACCTGGCCCTTTATAAGGGTCTGTTATGGATTTTGGAGGTACCACAGATCATTTTTTGTTATATTTACGTTTTTTTAATGTTAGACTAGGGAGTCCCGAGATTTTGCACACTCTTAAAGGGTGCAGTGACCGAAAAAAAAAAAAGGTTGAGAAACAATGATCTACACAACAACTTTCCTCCACCACCAATACTAACTCTTCCATGTCTGGGTAAATGTTGAAGTCAGTCAGTAGTCATTAGTGCTCATTTGCCAGCAGGGCAGTTTGTACTTCACTCTGTCATTTACTCGAACACACAGACAATTAATCATGATCTATTCTCTGTCCATGCATTGACAATGCTTTTTCTCCCCTTCACTGATCCTCGCACAGGCCCTGCAAACTTTCCTTCAGCTGGGACTGAAAGGTTATACAGGCAAAGCAGAGATTCTTAAAACGTATATATGCTGACCAGGCAGTGGTACTAGTGCCCCGTACACTACAGAAAACAGCAGTCACAAGTTACTACACAGACTGCCTAGAAATACCAAACACAAATGGTTGTATCGTTGTATCATAATTGTCAGGTCTCCTTTATTCCTAGTCACAGAATTTAGAGATCTGTCACTGGATTTGTTCGACCCTAGAAATGCCTCAAATCAACTTGCAATAATGTTACATTCAACGTTTACCATCAGTTAATATCATAATTCATCCTAAAAAGACACAATAATGCCCGCTGTATGGTGTGAACGGGCCCTAAAGGTTATATTATTCAATGGTACAATTTAATACACAGAATAACATGCTTGAACATAACACTAACTGCATGCAAATAATAGTGCCACATACACCAATTTGTAAATGCAGGCATTGAAGGTCTGCAACACAAGATGCATAAATCTTACACTGAGTTGGTAGTTTTATATTGAAAGGAAATAGTCAGTCCATCCATAAAAAAAAAAAGACTCAAAAAGGGAAAAGTGGTGCCACAATTAGGCACAAATTACTTGTTTGATCTTCTAGGTTACTGTTAAAATATCCATCTGTGTATAACTGGTGCGACAATGGCCATGCCTCTACCTTGTCCAGTACGCAAGAACGGTTTTACAATACGACTATCTACTAATGAACAGAAGTAAATCCGTAGCAAAATGCTACGTCTGCCTTAATTAACATCTTGCCGTCCGCAGTAAAAAAACGGACGGACGGCACTGCTACATCTGCGGGTTGCCGTCTCCAGACGGCAATTTTTTTCTGCTCGCGCGCGCCCCCTAGAGGGCACGCACGGGCAGAAAAGACCCGACCGTTGCACACACCCGTTACCGGGTGTTTCACATATAGGCGATCAGCGGGTCCATAGCCCGCCGATCGCCTATATGTGCTCGTTCGCGGCACCCCCCCCACCAGGGTTGTTATCCCCCTATATAATAGCAATACCAATAAGTGCAAAAAAAATAAATATAAATAAAAAAAAATAAAAGTAACACATAAAAAAGTAAAATAAAATAAAAGTCACATATAAAAAAAGGGGAAAAAACCCCCCCAAAATGTTTAACTCCCCCACCCCCACGTTTACGCGCCTATAAACGTAAATACGCGTCCGGTGCCCCAGCGCGCAAAAATTACAATTGCGCTACACATGTTACATATCGCCGCGAACGTCGCAGTGAGAGCAATCATTTTAGGGCCATCAATCACTGATAACACTAAACTGATGAGCGGTAACAGCTTTTAAAGCGTCGCCTATGGCCAATTTTGGGTATTATCGTTTTTTGAGGTTTCGCGCGCGCACGCAATTTTAAGGCTTGACATGTTTAGTGTCTTTTTACCCGACGTGACCCCATCTTTTATATTTTACCAAAAAATTGGGTAATAATAAATGTTTTATCATTTAATATAGGGGAAACTGTTTTTTTTTTTAAATTTCGGTAATTTTTCCTTAATATAGTAAAAAAATAAAACCCCCAGTGGTGAATAAATACCACCAAAAGAAAGCTCTATCTGTCCCCAAAAAAGGGTATAAAATTCATTTCAGTACAGCGCTGCATGACGGAATAAATGTCAGTCAAAGTACCGCAGCGCTGAATACTGAAAAATGGCCTGGATGGGAAGGGGGTTTAACACCGCGGATGTCAACTGGTTAAATGTAGAACGCTTGGAGTGCTTTATGGGTTTATAAAGGTGATTTATATTATAAGATCAATGGATTATCTGTGTATTGGCGACACTCACCTTTGCACTTCTACTGGTGTGCATTTACTAAATGTCTATGATGTCCTAATTTACAAAAGCAGTGGGCATCAGGATGTATCTAAACCTAAGAACAAAAATGTATTTTGTACCTTATGATTCCTTATATGTGGTGGCTGCATTAGTTTTACTTTTTCAGGGGTTTTATATTTTGCCTGGTATTCTTGTCAAAAACACCACTGTGTTTCCTAGGGTAATAATGTTTACTCGCTGTACTATACTGGGGACCAGCATCGTCACCCAAGGAAAGAATTACAGAATACCTCATCATCACTGATAACCCTGCCCAGAGAGGAACTGGGCAGGGTTAATAACATTGCTTAAGGGTTCACTGCAGCATTGTCTGCTTACTACAAAAAGTGGCATTTCTAGCAGCATCAACAATTTCTTAACTTACTGGACAGATATAACAGAACAGTTTCAATGGTATACTCAACAGACCCAAAAGAAAAACTTAAGTTCATTGTTATTGTTTTAAAGCTTATGTAAACCCTATTTGAAGATTTTCTTACATGTCCCAATGTCTCCTAGGCACACCGTCTCTAGTTTACCCAGGATCTTAAGAGAAAGCCTATGGAACTCCTGAAGGTGAAGAGGCACCCACACAAATCCTTGCCCAGTATGAGCGCATTAATACAGCAGCAGCAAAGGGGTTCCAATCTTTCTTCTCCACAGGGGCCGTGAGTTGGCTACGCCCACTGCTAATCTATGATATTAGCACCATATACTAAAAAGATAAAATTTCAATCATCTACTCACAGTTAATACTTTGCTATTACAAGGATAAATCTGTTCTACATGACAAAACTTACCTTTTTTCTAAATCTCTTATCTTTTCTCTTAAAGGTGCAATCACCTGTACAAGAAAAAGAATACCATTATTTTACTGAGTGTAGTCTGTTTGCCTTGAGTAACAGTCATTACAATATGCAGTTACAGTCCAACAGGACCAATACAACAAATTACTCATAAACCGACCTTCAGACTTTGAATGATTCCTGCACAACCATACAACAATCTGACTGTGTATGGAGTTTAAAAGATTGCTAGAGATACCCACAAAAAATCCTTAGCATCTTATAAAGTTACTGGCAATTCATTCATGGTGGAGAAATAAGCCGACTACATGTCAGACTCTGTAGAGGAACGCACCCAACATGCAGTGTACAGTATATGTGCATGCCAGGGGAAAACAGGATCTTCTCAAGGGTTAAATTGTCTACTGTGGAACCATCAAAAATCTTTGTGTATTGATAGTTTAAATACAAAGTCATGCGTGTAAATATCTGTATATGGTGTCTGAGATAGAAGCTTTCATTTCCTGACTCTTGGGACTGCATCTTAAAAGGAGAACTATGGGGTCAGGGCTTTCCCCATAGTTCTCCCAAGGGTAATGGGAGGACACAAACTAGCGTCCTCCCATCACCCAAAGCTCAGTATACTGAGACGCCGCAGCTCAAACGGATCCCGACAATTGTGTCTGGATCCGCCCAGCTGCGTGAGTGACAGCTGGCCCTGCCTATCTAGAGGCAGAGCCAGCTGTACCCGCCCCCCCCCCCGTCCGTTCTGTCAGTCAGAGCTGGCGGATCGGAGCGGGGAGGGGGGAATCCAGCCCCTCCCCTGTCACGGCTCTCTGCAGTGACAGGATCGAGAAGTGAGCAAGCGCCGGTATGTGTTTGCTCACTTCCCGATCTACTGAGCCGACCTGTGACAGTTTCATTGTCACAGGTCGGCTAGAACTATGAGGTGAGTGAAAAAATCACTCACCTCATAGTTCTCCTTTAAACTGACGATACAAGGTTAGAATTCTTACAGTGGATGGCCCTTTGGCTCGACATAAAGTTGATTATTGAAGTGGCCTCAAAGGAGCCGCAGATCTGCAGCGAAACAAAAAAGAAGGACTGCCGTCACTTTCGATGTATTATCACTGCAGCAGGTGCCAGCTGTCAGAATACAACAGTGAAAGTGTCATCAATTTACCGTGGCTGGAGAAATTTGTTAGATTTTTTTTTTTAATACACCAACAAAAACTGTTGGTGTATGGCCAGCTTTAGCTTAAGGGCAGAGATAAATCTCACATGGATAAAGACCAGATTTAGTTTTAATGTCCAGGAATAAAATACAGCCTGGAAATCTATGAATGGTAGCTTCCACTTAAAGCAGAACTCTGGGGAAAATTTTCTCTCTAGGCTCAAAAATAACAAAAAGTTACACTCATCTGATCCTTGCAGCCAGCCGTCACAGTGCTCCCTCTGATTATATGTCCCTCGGCGTCCTCATGTCCTATACACAGTGTACAGAACGTGATGATTCACGGACCTTAGAACGCTGTAGCGAAGGGAAAAAGCAAGGTGGAATGGACCAGTATAAATGCAGTCTAGCTACGAGGATCTGGTGAGTATAACTTTATTTTTGAACCTAGACAAAAATGAGCACTTAGACCTTGCAGTGTGGGGGCAGCCCTACTGCAAGGCTTAAGAATTGTTTTTCCACCGGAGTTTTGCTTTAAAGAATTTTACTTTTATTTCCTTTGCAGCAGATATCACTTTACCCATCAAACAGAAATGTGATTCAAATGTATAACATTTCCAGACACTAACTTTTATTGCATTTGCTTCCTTGCTTTCTTTTTGATGGAACGCTAACTGCTACAGTAAATGAACAGAAAAACTGACTTTGTAACATGGTGGTCTATTCACAAAACCGACTGATGTAATACACAGCTGAAAAATAAACACATAAAGAACATAGGTTTTCATTAAGCAGTCATTGTACTTTGCTAAATAGCTGTGCATTGTCACATGAGGCAGTGCGCTCTCCAAAAGTTATAGCGGAGCTGTTGTGCATTACATAATGCAATGTTAGAACAGAGAGCAGGCAAGCACAGGAGCAAAATGCAGAACAAAAGTATGGAGCCCATGTTTTATTATAGCACAAATTAGCAGAGCTGATAAAGCGCTGGCATGTAACATTTTTTAAATACGTGCAATAGTGATAGGGAAGATAATGTTAGTGGAATTTCCAGAAAAACCCAAGGATGATAATGTTATCAAGTTGGATAAAGGTCAAGATCTTTTGTCTTTTGTCATTAGTCTGTGTCTACGCAGTCTGAACAATTCAGTTTATCCTTGGAATACTAGGGTATTCATGCCAGACAAGTTTAACTACAGATCCTAAACTTCATTTCTAGGAATACCTTCAGGAGCGCAGCAATACATTCAGGCACTATTCTGAAGATATCTTCCACAAGTTTACATTTAACTACAACTGGTACACTTTCCCACTTTTTTAAAAAAGTAAACCTCTTTTAAAAGGAGTCTCTAAAACTCTAGTGCATGTGCAAAGGGCACAGCTAAAACATGAAACTCTGCCACTGCATATTTCTGTGATTTCTTGTGGAAATGTATCAGCTCATCGCAACACAAAAATATCACAAAGTACAATAGACAAGATATGACCTATGTTCACCTATTAATATACACAAGTGAGGTATTTGGAGGTAACTGCTGCCAAGAAATACATAAAAAAAAAAAAATTTGGGCAAGGTGAGGAAGGGTTGGAACCCATGCCAACTGTTTAAAAGGAGGAGATCTGTGAGGCGAGTGATTTCCACTCATCCTCATAGTTAGAGCCGACCTGTGACAGCTTCTTTGTCGCAGATCGGCTCTATCGATCGGGAAGTGAGCAGAAACATGCTGCCGATCCGCTCATTCCTCCCCCCAGCGCTGAAAGCAGGCACGGACAGGGGAGGGGGGCACAGCCTCTAGATAGGCAGAGCCAGCCGTCACTCACGCAGCTGGGTGGATCTTGACAGTAATGTCGAGATACGTCTCGGCTGCAGCGATCACAGTATACTGAGCTAGTATATGTCCCGTGTCCCTAAAGAGAACTATGGGGAAAAAAACACATACCCCATAGTTCTCTTTTAATGCGCCTGTGCACTAATTTAGGAGGAGTTTTCCACTGGCTATTTTCCAACTGTCAGGCAGAAGAGAAGTAAGGGAACATACAATGGAGTCAGGGACAGGAATTATAATAATAAAGAAATCTCTCCTGGATTTTATTAGGGTCCATGTTCCCATAAGTGAGATTTCCCCTCGTTTCCTGTCTAAGTGATGGGTGAACAAGGCGGGAAGAGGGGTGGGGGGGTGAAGAAGGGCTTCAAGACTAAAATTATGTTCCAAGATAACGGATGTGAAAAACAAAAACTGATAAACAAACCTCTTCTATTTTCATTTCCATTTTCTGTTCTCCGTTTTCCTGGAGTGACCTGCTGAGAGAGTAAGAATGCCAATATGAAGAGATGAACATGGGTACATAAAATAACCCAATTCTCACAGTGATTTTAACATTTTATATTTGCTCTCATGTCCATCAGACAGCTCTTGTACATCAGACAATTCCCAACTAGATTCAAGTGACACTAAACTCAGGAGTTAAATCTTAAAATGCATTTAAGTATCCTATTAACAAAAATGTATCTCATTTGTGCATCACTGAGCTATAGACCCTCAAATCAGCTCTGAATTGGTGCTGACACTGTCCTTCCTTCTGGAGGGTGGCTACTTTTATTCCCCATGGTCCCTGTGTGTTGTAAAGTAGTCACCGCTCCAAGCTCACTCCCGTGATGGACTACAATCTCGCATTTTACAACACACACAAGGACCATGGTGAACAAAAGTAGTCACCCTCCAGAAAGAAGGACAGTGTCCGCACCAATTCAGAGATGATTTGAGGATCTACAGCCAAGTGATGCATCATTGTTAATAGTTACGGCATTTGAAAGCACTTTTAAGATTTAACTCCTGAGTTTAGTGTCACTTTAATTCCTTGGCATATTTGCTGCCTTACATCCCTAGGACGCCTTCCCTTCTGTTCTTATATTTCTTTCCTGTTTCCTTGTTGCTGTATTGAGGTTATTGTTGCTTATTGAATATCTCTTCTTTGAGCCTCGTTAAATGTATATGGCTCATGGTACACAAGGCCTTTTCGGTTACTATCTCTGTATTGGTACACTTTTTTTTTTTTTTTTTATTTAAATGTACCTTGTCTTTTTTTTATTTTTATAATGTTGTACTCTTTGTACCTTGTGAAATCTAATAAAATACTGAACAGAAAAAAAAGATCACAGCTATAAATGAACATAGAGATTAAAGGTAAATTACCAAATCAAAATATTATAAAATTCTTACCTCATGTTGACAAAGTTTCCCCAAACAGCTGAAAACAAACAAAAAAAACACATTAAACCCTAATGTCCCAAATGCTGTGCAGAGTTATAATATGGGGCAATAAATTCCTGAGAACAGGATCTGCAACTATAAACACACTGACATTACACGCTACTGATCCCAGCCTTCCTTTCTGATTTATGTTTCCGAAGTCATTGCTCAGAACCAAGTAGGTGGAATCTTCCACGGACATTTTAAAGATCGCTTTCTAAAAAGAGAAAGTTACATTTTAAAGCAACTTTAATATAAAATATTATACTTCTGCACCAAGACACTCCGAACCAAACTGGTTGGCTTTAATGACCCCTTTCCCTTAGGCCTTGTTCACAGCAAGCGCGTTCCAGGAGCAGAGAAGTTACAGACCGGAGCAAAACTGCGTCCAATGTATTCCAATGGTATTTGTAGCTCCAGTTCACATCGCAGCATTCCGTTCCAGAGCAGGTAAAAAAACTGCAGCAGGCCCCATTTTACCTGCTCTGGAACACATGCAAACGCATCAAAAACGCATGTAAACGCCCTGGGAGCGCTCTGAAAGCCCATTTTAAACTAAAAAACAAAAATTGTTGTTTTTTTTTTTAAAACCAAAAACGGCTTGGAACGCATCAAAAAAGCTGTAAAAAACGCGGCACAACCCACTGCACTGCATGTGCAGAAACTCATGCAGATCTGCTCTGCATTTGGTGTGAACAAGGCCTTAGCGTATACTCCTCTTTCATTCGCTCCTGGCAATTCAATTAGCAAAGAAGTAAGGTCATAAAGACCGAGACAGACTAATTTGCAGTCAAGGTCAGTATGGGTTTGTTGTATTTTGGCCTTTGAGAATCTACTTTCCAAATACTGAACTGCCAGCAGACACAAATACAAGGCACCCAGGAGGTGTCTGCATGTACAAAGCTTCCGGAGTACTACAGGTTAAAAGCGTAAAGTATATACCCCACAGAAAATGATCACTGTGCCAGCTGTGGGTAAGCTAGGCAGTTGGCACGGTGGAGATATTTGCTTGTTGTTACAAATTAGCTAGGGTGCTGTGCGCTACGGTGACTTACAGTGCGGTCTCATGCGCTGCAGAAAAATTTAGTATTTCTGCATTATCCAGCACCATACGACACTGAACATCACACCCGCATTGCATTGCTTTCCATGTGCCCTACATTTTTCCGGTTTAGAAAAACGCAGGTCACCGCATTGGTGTGAACGAGCCCTGCCACATGTAGCATTGCATACACATAGTAGCACTACTCTTAATTTGCATGCCGAGTAGCTTTTAGTATACAACAGTGGTAGCCAACCTTGGCACTCCAGCTTTTGTGAAACTACAAGTCCCATGAGGCATTGCAAGACAACCACAGGGATGACTCCCAGAGCCATGATAAGATTTGTAGTTTTACCACAACTGGAGTGCGGAGGCTATCTCATCACGTTTGCAAGAAGCATGTGCCCTTGCACTGGGCTGAAGTACATCATCATGGGATTCAAGTCCCCAGCTATCCAAGAAGGCAGCGACTAGGCACAGGTATATCACACACGCCTCTGGGAAATGCATTGGATGCTGAAGATCCTGCTGGCAGGTTTTCTCTTCAAGGAGAGTGTAGATTGGCAGCAAGGGCACCTGGAGAGGTAGGTATTAAAACTCTTCTTTCACAGGAAGCATTTAAAAAATGTTTTTTTGGGCGTTGACAGAGTCCCTTTAAAGAGCCAATGACTGATTGTTTACATGGTTTAACTTTATCCGAGTTATAAATAATCCGCAAGGAGCTCCTCACATGTGGGAATTGGCTCTCCTGCCCTACAAACAAGTTCTCAGATTACCTACCAAAGGGCAGGATGGAAACATGTGACCCCCAGCAGCTAGGCTGTATCCCAAAAAGCAGTAATGCAAGTACAGCAAAAAGGAGCATTGGTCTACACTACAACTACAAGTCTATAATCAACCTTTAGAGTCAATGGCATAAAGAGAAAAAGTACTGATCTTTCCTATTCCTGAACCAGATAGAATGCTAAGCTTTTCCTGGTCTTTCTTGAAAATGCAAGTTGCCTGGCTGTCATGCTGCCCCACGGGCTTACTTTTTGAGTCTGATCCAGAACAAGTACGTAGAAACGGAGTTCTGACCTATGTTGCTGCATGTTTGTGCTAGGCCAAGGATTCAATGTACTAAAGCCTAAGGGACTGCATGACAGTCAAGCAACTAGCATTTTTACATTTAAGTCAAGGACAGCCTAATTCTCTCCCCACAGGTCTCATAATAAAGGATTTTTATAGCGCCAACAGTTTGCGCAGTGCGTTACAAAATGGAGACAGCACAGTTAGTCACTGTTCGCACCTGGGCGTTTTGACGCTGAAAGCTTAAGCGTCAAAGCACGCAACACAAGAATTCTTATTCATTCCTATGGCCCCTGTTCACACCTGAGAGTTTAGCAGCAAGCTGTAAAAAAGCTGAACGCTGGAAAAGGTGCATTAGCTTCTTTCAGGCAGATTTAGCACGTTTGTGCTCCTTAGAATTCAATGGCAAACGTGCCAAAAATGCGTGTGTGGGGTTTTTGCGCATTCCTGCGTGTTTTTCACGCGTTTTTGTGCAAAAGAATGCACGTTTTTAAGGCGCATATACATTGTGGAAGACCACCTGCAAAGCACACTGGGAAGCAAAATGGCTGATTGATGTCTGCAAAACTTTGACTCTGGAGGCATTTATAAAGCTAATCCAGGCACAACCCTGCCTGTATGACCTGCGCAACCCCCTTTATATAAACAGAGGAAGGAGGAGGCGAATTGCTTGCCAGATTTGGCCAGAATGGGAATCTTTCCCTCCATCCCTGAAGGACAGCGCAGGTGAAACATGTGCATGTGATGCATCCAAAGTTTGTTGTGATACTGTTGTAGCTTATGTTTCTGCTTGCTTGTGTGGCTATTGTAGGTCTGTGCAGCTGCAGATCTCCATGTGTTGGGGAACTACAAATCCCAGTATGCAGCTACCTCTGGGTGTCATGCCTTTTCTTTTCTGGGTGCACAGACTTTTATATGCATCACAGGACTTGTAGTTCCACAGCTGCTGAAAGGCTGATGGTGTTAACCCCTTGGCTAATGTGTAGGAGTTTATGTCATGGGCAGGACTTCTTTCCATTGGACAACACTCAATACACCCATCTGCAGAAACACGTCCAAAACGCGCATCTATTTAGGGGAAAACGCGCAAAAACGCTTGAAAAGCATGTAAAACCGCGCAGAAATGCTGACGCCTAGGTGTGAATGGGGACTTGCAATACAGTTTCTGTATGGGAGGTTTAGGAGGGCCCTGCTCATGAGCACTTACAATCTAGTAGGAGGGGCAATCTAGTAGGAGGGGCAAGTGATACAAAAAGGTAATAATTGTGTGGGATGAGATAATGGAAGAAGTGAAAGGACAGTTATTTGGCGGTAGGACAGCCTTCCATGAAGAGTGTATTTTTCAATGATCACCTAAAGGGGGGACAGAGTAGGAGATAAGCGGAGAGATGAATACATTAGCGGACAATAAATACATGTACAGCAGAGGCGTGCAGTTCCTTAAAATGCTTCACAGGTCGATCATCATTCCTTGCTAAAAAAACAGAATTATGTGATGGAAAAAAAATAAAACTGCTTGAATGTTGTGCTTTTGGGAAGGCTCAAGCAGATGTATACAATATTTTATTTCAGACGGATAGACCTTTCTTTTGGTGGTAAAGGAAAACTAGGATGTGAGTGATTTTCAGTCAACCTCATAGCTCGAGCCGACCTGTGACAAAGAAACTGTCACACGTCAGCTCTATAGATCCGGAAGTGAGCAAACGCATAATGTCACTCGCTCACTTTCCGATCATCTCCCTGACCCGGCTTGCTCTTAGACCGATTCCTGGAGTCTCTCTACCCCTCCTCTGCAGCAGTCTAATGTCAGTTATATTATCACGTACAATATACTCTGTATAGACACAAAGACTTTGAGGTACATTCTAATGCTGCAGTGTAGAAGGAGAACGACTTCAAAGACCAGAGAAGCAGGGAGCTGGCTCAGCGGTTCGAGCGAGTACAACTTTTTTTTGCGCACCTCGACAAAGACAAGCAGTTAACCCTTGCAGTGTGGGGACAGCCTCACTGCAAAGATTAAGACTTTTGCCTGAAATTCTTCTATTAGGCCTCATTCACACGAGAAAAGGCCAGCACTTATTATTATTATTACATAGTATTTATATAGCGCCAACAGTTTGCGCAGCGCTTTACAATATAAAGAAGACATTACAATTACAATACAATTCAAGACAAGATGGTAAGGAGGGCCCTGCCCCTGAGGGCTTACAATCTAAAAGAGGAGGGGGAAATGATACATGAGGAGGTAGCTGTGGCAATGAATTATGTGAGAATGTGAAGGTTCAGTGGTTAGGTTGCGGTGGGATAGGCTTCCCTGAAGAGATGAGTCTTTAGGGAACGCCTAAAGGCAGTCAAGGTGGGAGATAGACGAACAGGTTGGGGTAAAGAGTTCCAGAGGATGGGAGAGACTCTAGAGAAGTCCTGGAGGCGAGTATGGGAAGAGTGGACAAGGGAGCTGGAAAGCAGGATGTCAATGGATGAGTGGAGGGGACGGTTAGGGTGATACTTTGAGACAAGGTCTGAGATATATCCGGGGGCGGAGTTGTGGATGGCTTTATAGGTTAGGCTGGCACTTAGGCTGGGTTCACACCTAGGCGTATTGAATATGCGCGTTTGTCACGCGTTTTGCGTCACGCGTTTTGCGGTAAAAAAAAACGCGCGACAAACACCTGTTTCCGAGGGCTACTTGGCTGTATCCCATTGGAAACGCGAGACCAAAACGCCCCAAAGAAGTACATGTACTTCTTTGGGCGTAGGCCGTTTTGTATCGCGTTCGGACGGGCGGAAATACGGCAAGGTGTGAACCAGACCCATTGAATACAATGGGATTTAGATGTTTGAGCGTTTTGTAGAGCGTTCGTCGAGCGTTGAACGCGCTACAAAACGTT